TCCAATAGTCGCAAGCTGTTCCTTCCTTTTTCTAGATTCCAACTTCTTCCACTTTCCACATATCTGAAATGCAATCAATTTAATCAGAAAACATGAAGGAGCTTTTTAGAGCTAAAACGATAAGGTATATTAATGGCAGAATAGTTTATAAAAGAACAAATTACATGTAATAGAAACTGTGCTATCAAGGAAGAATCAATAAAGTCAGACAATCTAACTAAATGACTTCATTCCATATAATTAGGCGGCATGGATTATAAATTCGTTTCCTAACAGAGGTAAAGGCTGATTTCAACCCCTAAAGATGACTTATTGGACGAACAACTAATAAGTGTGCATTGTGAATCACCTTCCCCTCTGCTTGTACAGAGTTTCGTAATTCAATGAATTTCCAGGTTCCAAAACTTCCCTCGTAACTGAAACAAAGGAAGCAGCGGTTGCAGGGAAGCTGACAGTTATTGGAACAATAACGACCCTACCCCTTATTTCTGGCTGCTCCCGCGAAGTCTGTAAAGTTTCATCGAAACCGTCTCTGTTAATTTTACCCGAAGAACACAATTCAGTAGCGAGGGGGGGTTTGAGGGGTAAAAAATTACGACGCGGGGCGAAGTTTCGCGCGGAAGCGGTCGTTGAGCGACAGACGTTCGCTACCGACGATAGGATGGCAAGAAGTAATTGAACGCCTCGCAGAAACGAGCGGCTGTAAATCGCGGCGTTCGCTCATCAATGACCATTTTGTACCTAACGACTCCCCGATTGTAATGCCATACGCCTGTAAACAAGAAGAGAATAAGAACGTTCGTGCATCGCCGGTGCAATCAGACTGCGGAGACCTTCGGACAGCTGCGACGATTTACGACCGTTGACAAAAATGAGCGAATTACCAACGACGTATCCAGAGCTACAGAGGCCTGGAGCTAATTTTTGTCGAGGAACCCTCTCCTTTTTTCTCGAAAAATTTCTCGATGAATCATTACACTTCCACGCGTTCTGTATTTCTAAACACGGTCATAAAGTACCCGCTCTCCGATACACTTGTTTACCATACAATACTTCGCATTTACATGCATTAATTCGAGAACTGTTAAAAGCAATCGCGTTGCAACGGGCCAAGTTCTGCCCTGTTGATCATCAAACTCCGTTACAATGGAATTTTTTTGCTCCTCGCATCCTGTTTACCGACCGTACAGAAAATATGTGTAAATATTTTAGTTGCGAACGGCCATGCGCCTCCGAGCGTTTTCTGTAAGGTCGTCAGCATTCTGTTATCGCGAGAAAAATCCGGATGCACTTTCATCCGCGATTGGCGGAATGAATCTCGGGGACAGAATTTGTACCGTGCGTATCTTTGCCTACGGTTAAGCTGCGCGTCCACCCACGGCTTACAACCAGCCGCGCGATAATAAAGCTTCCGGTCCGGCCGCGCCAGCCGCAGGGACGCAAAACAAAACGTCGGGGAACGGGACGAAAATTATTATTCCTTTGCCGCACGGCGCTTGTACACGGCGACGTACACGAACCGGATGCAACGCGTTTGATTTACCTCCCGCGCACCTGGCCGCCAACCCCCTAAACGCACTTTTAATTGTCGTTCGATTGGACGCACGACTTCTGGCTTCGAAATATCGCCTCGTTCTGTATCATTGCTATGCCTCTTGGTGTCGACAGTTAAATTTTACACTGGTGATTATTAGAAAAAGCTCGTGTGGTTTTTTATCGCAGTTGAAAGCGACTTTTTCCCGTAACAACTTTTTTATAATAAATTTTTATTTGATGGAAATAATACAGTGTTCGGCCACTCCTGGGAAAAATTTTAATGGCCGATTCTAGTGGCCAAAATAAGACGAAAATCAAGAATAAAGTAAACTGCTAAAAAGTTATTAACAATTAAATTCAAAAATTTCAAATCGTTCTGGAAAAATTATTCTCGGTTGCCGGGGTCAATTACAATCATTTTTTATCATTACACATACCCACGAATTCCTATCCACTTACGAGCAAAAAATTCAGTAAGTGGACAAATTTTTCGTCAAAATTATAAAATATCAAATTATTGTAAAAAAATTATTTTCGGTTGCTGGGGTCAATTACAATCATTTTTGGTCATTACACATACCCCCGAAATCCTACGCACTTTCGAGAAAAAAATTCCTTACCGAAAATCTAATTAGATGCCTTTTTGCAACGAAAAAAAAAATTTCAAATCGTTCTGGAAAAATTATTTTCGGTTACAGGGGTCAATTATAATCATTTTTAGTGAATAGACATATCCCCGAAATCCTACGCACTTTCGAGAAAAAAATTCGAGAAGGTGGATAAATTGCTGTTCTACAGCCGCAACTTTAAACGTTAATAACTCTTTAACAAAGCCTCCATCAACAAATTGGTATTCTTGATTTTCGTCTTATTTTGGCCTCTAGAATTCCCCATTAAAATTTTTCCCAAGGGTGGCCGAACACCCTGTATACCCAACTATCAAAATTGTAACAGAAAAATGCTCAGCACTTCGAACTTTTGATACCAAGGCTGAACGCTTATAATTGTTAAATATATGCCTGGAATATTTTACGTTTAAATTTATGTGCCCGATAGAGAACATAATGTAAATCCTTATTCAAATTAGGCGCAGTGCGGGTAATTTTACGGTTCTTGAACTTTTCCGTTTCTCTGCCGAGGAACCCGGATAACTCATAAACGTGGCACACCGTTAAGCGTTGCCGCTTATAAGTTTCACTTTTTCTCCACCGTGTCGTTATTATGACATTGGATGCAACGTGCTGCGACTAGAATTTTCATAGCAACGTATATCGTTCCATGTTTCCATCTACGTGATCAAAATTCTTATCTAGATAACAATTTCGAACAACGAATAAAAGATACGCGAGTGCTTTAAACTAATAAATTAGAAGTTCAAATATCTTCAAACTTACAAAAATTCGTTTCTATGAAAAGCCTCATTTGGATCAAAATACGAAACCGTGACGATAGTTCCTGAATTTAATAAATAATCCCACAAAAAAGAGTCACAATTGTTTAGTAACTTACCTCCTCGTTTTTAGTCACATTTACAGATCTGATGCCAGCGTCCACGTAGAATATGGAGTTCATTTCCTTGTGGAACCACATGTTTCATTTGTGTTAACACGATGCGTCGTAGGGAAACTTCCTTTGAACAGTATCACCACTCGATAGAAGAAAATACATCACAATATTTTACTTGTACACTTTCGTCGAACGCAAACGCCTTGTGCGTCGAGTCGCGATAAACGATAATTTGTTACAACTAGAATCCGGCTTCTTATATATTTATATTAATCCACGACCGTCGACAGTTTGTTTTTTAACGTACCTGCTATTGTCAACGCGTGTGTCGGCACACTTTCGATCCTAAATGACATTCTTTTGCCGCAAGAACGCAACGAAACAGAAGCGCGTCTTAAAAGTGACATTGGTAAGTTCTTTTCGCCACGGTAGTCCCGTGAAAACTGGAAAGCGAAACGTTAATCGCACACCTCTCTCGTTTCTATGTACGCGACGTGTCCCTCCTCCTTACCCCCGCGTAATGTTTACTCCTCGCCAGTTGAATACTATGGCCCTCCTGGCGGTCAATTAGTAGCTCCCTTAATTCATCATAAGCAGAAAGACACGGTGAAAGGAAGACTCGTTCGCTTGCAATTAATGCCGTCTGGAAGTATAAGAGCAATAAAAGTAAAAGTACTGAGTCACTGCGATTTCCTACCGTTGTTACGGAAATTCCCAAGTTCAGGATGAGTGTCGATAGAAACATGAAACCACAACCACTTCTCGAGGATTTAATTATGGCACAGACGAGATATACTAGTAGACCTCGCATCCAATGTATTTTTTATGAGACTCTAAAGCCCCATTACCATTTTCGTGTCACTGCAACATTACAAACAGGTTACACAAACGAACACAAGAGGAAGTGAGACAGAAAATGAAATTAAAGAAACATTACAGGCCACACATTATATTTTCGATTAGAAATATTTTTCTCGAAAATGCGTAGGATTTCGGGGGTACGTGTATTGACCAAAAATGATTGTCTTTAACCCCCCCAACTAAAAATAATTTTTTTGGAACGATTTGAAATTCTTTAATTTCGTCGAAAAATTTAGCCCCTGTCGATTTTTCGTAAAAATTCGTTTTTGATTTTTAGCAATTTTGTTTGACTCCCTATAGAAAAGTTTTCCAATACTTTTTTGTAGGTACCCATGAGCTCTACTTCAGAAAAAAGTTTCATTGAAATATATTTACTATTGTAGGAGTTATGGCTGTTTGAAAATTGCGTTTTTCAATCTCTTCTATGTATAGTCAACTTGCATGCGTTTACCCATAACTACAGCTGCCTGATTATCAATACTAATTCAGTAAATAGTTTCTCAACTGACCGCCATCCATGATGGGAGGACGCTAAAATCACCTCTCAATTTTTTGGTCGGTACGACAGTAAATTTGAGTAATGAAGGTTCATAAAATGTAAGGTCTACTCGTATACCTCGTCTGTCGTTATGACATAGAAAGAACTGTGGGTGTTCTTTCTTTGGAACGACGAATTTATTGGCGCAAGATATTTACGCCATCGAACGGGCTTTGTTTGTACTATTTTTCACACGACGGATATGCTTTTAAATCAGTGGTTCTTAACCTTTTTTCTGAGGACCCATCTCATCGCTGAATTGAAATTTATGAACCCTTACATTTAGATGTTAGCAAACCTCGTTTTCTAAAAAATTCTAAATTTATAGCACAGATCAGCAATTGTTTCGACTCAAGGGAACAATGAAACTAGTTTCGAAGCAAATTTCACGCGTTACATCTGCAGAATGTAGCAGAAGGATTTTTGGCAGCATGTCAATAAATTAATGTTTAAAAGAAACCAATAGTCCGTAATAATATGTAAATATGTTAAATTCCAGTTAGTCTGGGTAAATAATTTAGTTAAATTGACAAACTTTTCGGAAAAATACATCGCCATAATGTCTGCAGGGACGGAATTATTAGCTACAGCCAAACCCCACTTTATCCCAGGGCACGTACTCAACATTCATATTATTTCGAATTTCTCATTCTGTTTAAAAATTATTTAAAGTATTCAAAGATGGGACAGTAGATACCTGTTACACCGGTGCCTTTTACAAAACACATTGTTTGTTTCAGGTATGCAGGATATTCGCCGCAATATCGCTTCAGATGCGGCGAAACGTACGGAAATACCACGCACAAATTACTTCTCGATCCCACAGTGAATCATGCAGAGGCACTCATCTTGTCGAACCGGGTCACCGACGATTACGAAGTATCATTGAATTTTTTAATGCTCACATCGGTATTAGAAATTACTGCTCTTATTTCCTACTAATTAGACGTCGTTAATTTATGAAAACGTCAGGTTCAAAGACCGCCAAAAAATGATATAGACATAGTGAACTCGCGATACAAAAGGACCGATCCTATATTCGTTCACCCTACCATGCCAGGGTACGAAGGTACAGAACAAAATCAGAGAATAGAAAAAAGAAACATTCAAACAATTTTAACGAATTAATTTAGGTTTCACGCCAAAGCTAAATGCCAGAATGGGGCAAAGGTACACTGTATTGGCCACAGAGGGACTCGCTGAATTTGAGCGGCAACAATTGAAAAATAAAGCTGCTCTTAACGAACTTAAACGAACAATAGCTATACAAAGTGGACAGGGGGAGCCGCGAAATTTAGAAGATCGTTTAGTAAGAAAATCAGACCGAACATAGTCGATGAAATTCTATTCATGATCAATGAATACAAATTTTATTGTTTACAACTGTGAATATAAAATTTGCGTTGAAAAGAAACTAGGAAACTGTAGTTTGATAATCGTTTCCTTTTAAAACTGTTTACTATAGCTCGTTAAAAGTCAATTCAAATTGCCTATGCTCGCCGTTCGACCAGATCGCGTGGGCGTAATGAGGAACTTAGTTTTGGACGAAAAGTACGAAACGCCCAGAGATCATGCGCCATCTCCCTACTTCATGGATAACGCGAATCCAAAAAAATATTTTGTCAGCCGTGAGTCTCTGCTGTTCGTCGTAACCAGCGTCCGTAACATTCAACTGTTTTGTTTTAACCCTCGTTTTATTTTGAAATTTCGGCCTGAAATAATGAATCAAACGTACGTATAATAATTAGTATGCAAAGAACATCAAATGATATATCATAGTACAGATGGATCTTACGGACAGTGAACAACGAATGCGATATTCTTTCATTCGAGAGAATGCCAGAAGTTGGTATCAACAGGCAAATATGCGAATGTTAACTTTAATCAAACGTTGAATAATGATATCTGAATTGTTCGTTAAGGATATGCGGGCCATATACCGTATGGTTATGCGCATTTTGGAGTATCGAACGTTCCCGCCACCAACAGTGCGCTTTGCGACTTCACGTCGAACTATCGAAAACGACTGAGCACGGAATGGGCACCGGTGACAATTTCTCAACCTGATCCACCCCTTTTGATTCAACCCACTATGATCTATCACAAGCACGTTGGAATGATCCCAAATTATCTTGGGCACGTTCCTGGGGAGACATTTAGGTAAGGTTGTCTTCACAATACCATAGTAAATCCTCAACTTACGGAGTTGAATCATTTTGAAATTTTTCGCGCGGATCAAACTGTCTCGAGTAAAGGGAATGAGGAATAACAATGATACAGTGGCTTCGTCGTTGTATCGACGATGTGGTGTACAAGTTATAAAAGTGATATTTTCACTTTTCTTGACACAAATTGTCTAGATCCTTATGCAGACCGTAGTTCCCTGTGTGAAACACAAACTTCCCCTACCATCTAACTACTACCATCACATTCACTTGACTTTTTCTTGTGCTATGTAATAAAGCGCGCGCGCGCACGCGCGAAGGGGAACTAAAAGGCGAACTTAAAACACACCGAGACAATTTATATAAAAGAAAATCGAAAAGCTATTACTTTCATAGTTTGTACACCACATTGGCAATAAAAGAATAAAACCCACTATTGGAATTGTATAACATGCGATTTGAAAAAATGTAAACTGTTTTATTTCCACAATCCGTTCACGCAGATTCGGTAAGACTTTCGGAGCTGATACGAAAGATGCAAAAAGGTGGCTTCGCGGTGACTTCTCCACATAAAATGTATCGTGCAACAGGTATTGTCATATTTTTGTGTACAGAAAACAGATAATATAGATTTGAAAAATATATGCTGCGTTAAACCATGATTAAACTATTAAAAGGTATGTAACATATTATTCCTAATAAAATAAGCCTCTTTGTTATAAATGCGTTCGATATGATGGCAAATACCATTATACGTAAATATTATTGCGATTTCCATTTCGTTAAAATTTCGGCTGCCTTTTTCAAATTCTCGTCTTTCTGCAGGAAATGAATATTGATTATCAACGAACGAAAACTTTCATGTAAATAACGCTCAATATGGATCCAATGTTTACCTTTATAAAGCAGTATCGTACGTTATCTTCTCCCAGATGTTTGTGCTCGGGACTATAAAATGCGGATGGTGGAATTCCTTGAACTCCGACATTTTTCGTCATCCATTTTGTAAACCGATAGTCTTTGTTCTCGTCCGTCTCTTCCTCCAATTTAACTTTATCTTTCAAAGCTGTCCAATCAGCTACCATAAAATATCCACCTTCGGGGATCGTTGGGGTCATTCCTACGTCGCTAAGAAATTTGGCCATATAATCTCGTTTTGGTATCAGTTCCTTAGCTAAGCTCACGAAGTAGCAATCTGGTTGACCAAATCTTTCTAACTCTTGCTCGAATCCAACTGCTACCGCTTCCTAAGACATTAGAAACTATTGTATGAGCAAGCAGATCGCAGCTTTTGTATGCAATGATTACCTGGATTGGCGTAGCGCAGGTATATACAGCATTTTGATGAACAATTTGAAGATTGTACAGTAAATTTGCCGGAGCGTAAGCCCATCCTATTTTCCATCCAGTGACACTAAATGTTTTTCCAGCAGATCCAATAGTAATAGTACGTTCGTACATATCGGGTAACGTTGCTAAAATACATTCAGTACAGATTGAGTGTATTAATGTCGATCTGTTAACACGTCGAATCCCAAACGTTTTAAGATCCTGTTCTGATCTAGAAAAACATTCCCGCCCCCCATATCGATCCGATCTGATTCCGCAGATCTCCCCGTAAACACAAGTCTCAAACCATCAAATATGGTCTAACAATTAACAAAGTCGTACTCGTTATCGAAATTAAAAATGTACTCTAAAATAAACCATAATATTGTTAAGAATTCTAACCAATTCTAATGTGTTTGCATGGCTCATAAACAATCCATTCGTACACTTCATCCGATACAACGAGCGTATTCCATTTCTTAGCTAAGTTAGCCACAAATTCCAATTCATCAAGTGTAAAAACTTTTCCTATAGGATTATGTGGAGTATTGATAATTATTCCTTTGGTCTTTTTATTGAAAAGGCTTTCTAATTCTTTTCTATCAAACACCCAGTCCGCTGAACTTATAGGTCCATTCGTACTTTTCTGAAAAATATAGAAATAAATAAATAACACCATAGAAAAATTTGTATTTATATACAAGTGTATTGTTTGAAATTTACCGGTTTTAAAGCAATAAACCTAGGAACTCCGCCAGCAGATTTAATCATAGGTACATAACAGTCAAAAAAAGGTTCAATAATTATCCATTCATCTCCAGGATTGGTATGGCCATGTAACGTAGCGTATAAGGCTTCATACGCGCCAACAGTAACAAGAATTTCATTATTTGGATTTAACTCACGCTTCAATAGCTTAGAATATAATTTGGCTATGGCATTTACTAAACGTGGATGACCCTGAAGTAACATAAATCTTCATGCAAATACAGTAATGGATAAGTAAGTATGTATATTATTTAAAATGCTATAAAAAAATATATATGTATATTTATTTTAAACTGCATAAATAAAGACTTACAAATCCTCTGGTATATTGGTTTAAAAGAGGATTATCGCTGCTAGTTGCAGCAGCTAAAGCCTTTGTTACATTCTCAGGAGCATGGAAATCTGGAAATCCTTGACCTAAGTTCAATGGTTTATATTTTAAACTGAGCTGAATGTATTCCACCCTAAAATAAAGATATAATTGTAAACTACATAAGCATAAGTTATACAATTCTACATACCACACTGATTTTTCATTGCCTTTCAAGCGTTCTGGCAAATCAAACCTAGACATCACGGCAGAAGAACTCCTAATATTTTTTAACGTGGAAACTGTTGCTTTAAAAGTTGCTCCAAGAATGCAAGTTCTGCCAAGCATCTAAATATGTATTGCAAAATAAGTCCTATATATTAAAATATTAACTGCAAAATTGATAAAAAATTGTTGCACAAATGATAAGTTATATAATACCTATGCAAGTAGTTATTTGAAACATGCAATTAGTTACATTATGGGATGCATTAGTTTTAACAATCTATACTCTTTCTGATTAAAATTTTATTTCACTTACATGGTAATACAATCACGAATACTAGCTTAAAATAATTATCATGATTTCTTACCAGACGAAACGCAGTTAATGTGTAATAGCTTACTTTACTGAAGGTACTGAGAAAAATTAGTCGCAAAATAATCGAGTATCAATGTTTTGAATGCGATCGTGACGGCGTAGCCGCGTGCTTATCAAAACAATTGTTACGCAACAAGTACTAGGAGAAACTTAAATTCCTAGTTTTGCACAGTTATTTTAACATATATAGTTGGTAGATTATTTGTCATTTAATACAGTTTTTTACATTAATTGAACTATCTTGTATGTATACTGGAACATACTGATCATCTTTATGTTGAATAAACAACTGTATGAATTGTATCCTTCGTATAGAAGGATACAATCTTAAAGCACATTATGTAGCTATAGAATCTGTACTGTAGGTACAAAAAATAAATATTAATAACTGTCGAGAACCTGATATTAAAAATGACACAGCCTGAACAAGTGATCCAAGAATTATACGATTGTTATACAAAAACTGCTGCTAATATTATTTCGTATTATGGTAAGTGGTTGTAAGGTTATGCCAATTCCAATAAACATTTCCAGACAAATATTAGAAAATTATAAATTCTAACAATACGAGAGAGATTGATTGAAGAATTAAATAAATATGAAAATAAGCAAATTAATGTAAAAATTTAGATTCTTTGATTTCTTACAAAGTTCAAGGTTATTCGTGTGGATTAATTTTCTTATCAATTTCACAGAAGATGATGAAAGGACGAACATATTGAACAGACTCAGGGATATTGCAAAAAACAATTGTATTCTAGATAAAAAAATGAAATCAGCAGAAAGCACAAAAAATCGATTATTAGACATGTATAATGACATTGATGATGATACAAACACCGATATTGAAGCCATTATACAAGTAATTACATTATACTGGTACAATAACATGATAGAAATGTTATATACTTTTTAAAATTTTAGGAATACAAGCGGGATATATCTGAGATTACCGTTGATACAACTAATGAACAGAATTTGTTAGAATTTGATAAGCAAGTCGAAGCATTATTGGGTAAGACAACAATTGTGTTAATAAGAAAAGCATTTCTTCTTATAATTATTGATAAATATTATATGTAATGCCTTCTGTTACAGATAAAGTAGAAAATGCAAAAGAGGATGGGAATGACACTGAATTGCAAGTAACAGGATGTCATGTAAACATAATTGATCCAATTACTAAGAAGAGAATGGAAGATCCTGTAAAAAATATGAAGTGTGGACATACTTATGAAAGAGCCACTATTACACAAATATTGAAGATAAACAAGAAAACCAAGTAAAGATTTTATTCTGAAAATTTTTGATTATGAAATGTTTTTTTTTTTTTAACAAATAATTGTAATCATATTTTGTTTGCAGATGTCCTGTTGCAGGTTGTAAAAGTCAAGAGTTTGTAACGCTCGAACAGCTCCGAGCAGACATTGCAACAAAAACATACCTTGAGAAACATCCTGCATGATACTCAGTATTAAATAAAGTACAAATTAAATATATAAGCAATATGTTTTGTAAGATACATTTTAGGTTGATATATGCGTATACAAAGTCTGAAGCCTAGTTTTATATTTCTTTAACATAAAAATAAAGAGAGACACATGATGCATCATGCACCTGAATTCAACACATGACTTACTATGACACGTTTCGCATCGCAAGAATATTTTCGTGATTAGAAACGCTTATAGCAATGTTGGCTTTATTCCAAACAGCTGTTTCATGGATCTATTTCAAGTAGTAGAGTACAATTTAAAAATGTATCTCTTAAAATGGTACAGACACGTTGTACTATACATTACCGTACTTAAAATTTAATTCTGTAGTACATAAATATGGATACCACACGCCTCGATTTATTTACTTTTCGGAGCAATTTATTTATTTGCCAAAACAACTTTACAATATGAAATAAGTATAATTTCATCAATTGGAATTATTTTCAAAATGGTATTGTATACAATACGTAATATTTTTATGAATTATAAAATATTAAACACGGGGCAACTTCAAGTTATTATGCATGGTTGTTTATCTCTGTAATCGGTACCATTGTCAACTCGATGATGTCAACGCTTAGGCTATGTTTATACTTACGTTTGTATCAATAGTCTTGATCGTCTCCCGTGGAAAAGCTCGTCGGGTTGTAGACGGATTCAATGCGGACGGCAATAATTGGGACCCATTTCTGTTCGTATCTAAAGACTTGGATGAATCGCCGAATTATGACATAACGCGTTGGGTACGACAATTACATTTACAGCAATGCGCTTTCGTAGAAATTGGAGAAGGATTTTGCGCTGTAAGCAAGACACATTACATTTATTTCCCTTTTTTTTTAAATACAATCTTAATCTTCGTGTACAGTTTGTAGAATACAAATACGAACGTTGATAATCACGCCACGGCAGGAACTTACAATTTCGTATATTGCTTGTAGTTGTTCGTGGAATTGCGTAACATACCGTCGGAATCGGAAATTCTGGACAATTCCGGCGTGGGTGAATTTTTTCTCGGTGTATGTCACTGTCTGACGCTTCACTCTTGGGATTTGTGCCCGTTTGAACTGACAAGGCAGAGGGAAGTCGATTGCACTTTCGTCGAAGCTACTCCATATTCAAATACGAGTGCAAGGGTCCATAGGCGATTATGCGACATAACGTTGCTCGGCGAGAATGCCCCAAGTTGCAACTGTTCCATTTCGCTTGCTGGCCATCGGTTATACAAAACAAAAGGTTGGTCCTGGTCCATTAGCCTGGTCCATCCATAAACATGAACTGTCCGACGTGAAATTGAAATTATATATACAAATCACTTTCAGGATTCCCCACGTGTTTTTTAAATCCTTTACCAGAGTCCCTGTGTTCGCCACGCGGCGTTTGCGGTGTCGCACAGTGTTCAGCGACCACGATTAAAGGGATACACACGCCCCAATGCGCTTCAAATTGCCATCAGAGACAACCAGTAATGTTATTACACGTTAAACTCGCTTTCAAAATTTCAGCAACGCCGTGGAAAAATAGATAGTAATAGATAATTTCGTTAGAAAGTCTTTCTATGTATTTTATTTAAATGTCTGCTATCTGCGTCTAGCATCAACTAGAGTCGATAAGATATAACCTTTTAAAAAAATACCGAAGGTCGTTTCGATCCCACCTTGTTGATAGGAGATAAATACAATGTTAAGAATCATAAATTCTTTGAAACGTTCAGTTCTGCGAAGAAATTGGACCTTGGACGTCAATTCCGGCTGAAATTACTTCTTTATGGTCGCGATGGTCGTCTCCAAAGTGTAACAATACTTGCGGCGGAGGATTCGTGGTAGCCATTGCTTCGTGCCAAGATCAAGTAACGTAAATAAAAATGAAGGCAAATGTACAGGGTGTTTCCGAACTGTAGATACAATCTTGACCACTTGACTCGCAAAAAGAATGGATAATATTTTCGTAAACATAGGTCTGAATACCGTTGCATTTATTACGTTCATTCGATGGACGCCTATAGGCAAACTTTTTCAAAGAAAAACGAAAGACGCTAACGAATGACGCTAACGCTAGTAGACAATGAAGAAAGCATGATTGTCTGGTACAGAACAATGTTCATGGTTATTTTTTAATTTTTATCGTTACAATTTCACAGGGGGAAGCCAGCCATAGACTGTATCGGGCCAGGATCATTTTGGTGAGCTTCTCTGAGGAGGTTCCCTCGAATTCCCAGTCCGTGACGAAAGGTGTGAACTTTTCCAGCTGCCCCAACGGCTTCGGTAAATGTTACTGCGAGGTAAACACCGTCGATGGAATTATGAGAGCGGCCAGGTTCACGGAACCTTGCATTTCTACCGAAGGGTGTATCCCAAGCAACGTCGAAACATTCACTTTCGAAGGAGAGCCCGATTCCAGCAACAGCGTGGACTCTAAAGAGGTTTACGAGAACTACGATCGTGAAAGGTTCGAAGGTACTCACCCGTTGTATTCACAGCTTTCGATTCTACGGTGCTCGTCGTCCATCTTCCCAGTTCAGCATTAACGATCTGAAATTAATGTAAAATAGGCGTATTTAATCGCAAGGCAGATTTTACTAAACGTTACTAGAAAATTTAGTATCGTAACTAAAATAAGTCTTATTTGTAACTTAACCTTTTTATTTTACAATCGTAACGATTATACATACAGGGTGCTCGGCCAGCCCGGGAAAAAATTTTAATGGGGGATTCTGGAGACCAAAATAAGACGAAAATCAAGAATACCAATTTGTTGATGAAGGCTTTGTTAAAAAGTTATTAATGTTTAAAGTTCCACTCGTACTGAATTTTTTTCTCGAAAATGCGCAGGATTTCGGGGGTATGTCTAATCACCAAAAATGATTGTAATTGACACCTGTAACTAAATATAATTTTTTTAGTATGATTTAAAATTTTTTTTTTTCCGTCGAAAAATTTCATACCTTCTCGAATTTTTTCCAGTAAGTGGGTAGGATTTCGGGGGTACGTATAATCACCAAAAATTATTGTAATTGACCCCCGTAACCGAAAATAATTTTTCCAGAACGATTTGAAATTTTTTTTTTCGTCGAATTTAGGCACCTAATTAGATTTTCGGTGAGGAATTTTTTTCTCGAAAATACGTAGGATTTCGGGGATATGTGTAATGACCAAAAATGCTTGTAAATGCCCCCCGTAACTAAATATAATTTTTTTAGTATGATTTGAAATTTTTTTTTTCGACGAATTTAGGCACCTAATTAGATTTTCAGTGAGGAATTTTTTTCTCGAAAATACGTAGGATTTCAGGGATATGTGTAATGACCAAAAATGCTTGTAAATGCCCCCCGTAACTAAATATAATTTTTTTAGTATGATTTGAAATTTTTTAATTTCGTGTAAAAATTTCAGTACCTACTCGAATTTTTTTCTCGAAAGTGGATAGGATTTCGGAGGTATGTGTATTCACCAAAAATGATTGTAATTGACCCTCGCAACCGAAAATAATTTTTCCAGAACGATTTGAAATTTTTGAATTTAATTGTTAATAACTTATTTTGTCTTATTTAAAGTCTTATTTTGGCCTCTAGAATACCCCGTTAAAATTTTTCCCATGGGTGGCCGAACACCCTGTATACGATCAAAGCCACGAGTTCCAATTGGACGTACTGTACAGAAGGTACTCCTACCTTGGAGGACTAAAAGAATGCATGAAAAATTGAAGATAATATAGGAAAATAAATTGTTTCCCTCGGTACGATGGTTGGTGAACTTGTGCTATTTCAGAACTCGTGGCTGCCCATTGTTCTACGCGATGCACCGCGGTGAAATTCCCGAGTTATTTTGCACGCAAGCTGTTCCAACGCGTTTTGCAGACACGCTTCGTTACTCGGAATCCGCGCGACCGTCGCTGCGTCGCCTCCTGCAGGCTCGCCGGCTCGACGAGTACGGTTTACGCGAAAATAGACCGTCGAATAAGAAGCTGAGGAACACCAGGGTGTATCGTTCCGTTCTACGGGGCCGATCGGACGACGATGCTGATTACGACGACAAAGACGAGGACGACGAGGAGGGGGACAACGACGAAGGCGGCGACAAAGCCGACGAAGACGAGGAAGAGGAGGACGAGGAGACGGTGAACGACACGGAGTCGCCGCGCTATTACGATTACGGTTAGTACTCGTACGCGAATCTTTTTTCTCGGATTTTTCAGATCGACCTCAGAGACTTCGGGAAGGGTCGTTGGAGCCCCAGGAAACGGGCTCGAGAGGCGCGGTCCGATTACGCGGCGATTGCGTTTGAGGGTAAGCAGGAGGTCGATGAACCCGAGGGAAACGGGGCTATGGAGATCGGATCCGTTACAGACGACTGTGACGACGATTCCACGGAACCGCTGCAGTATTACGATTATGGTGAGAAAACGTCAACAAGAGGAAAGTACCGTCCGCGGAGTATCTGACTCGAGACTAGCTTTTCTCTGTGACCTCGCGTCGCGTGGATCTGTTCAAAAGAATTAAGATCAAGGGTATCGATATGTCCCGATCACTCGAGACACGGTGGTGAATTTATAATAGTCTCCTGTTTATGAATTTATACGAATGGTTTGTAATATTTGTTTCAGCCGTCTAACAAAATTATTATTCTATGCTTTCAGACTCTGGCGGGAGTTCGATGTCTAACTCATGGATTTCGTTCGCTACGGAACTGGTAATAGTAAACATTTTGCTGCGGTTGGCTGGTGTTTGATTGGGCAAACGCAAAGAAAATCAGAGATAACTGTACAGAGATAACCTGGTATTGAAATAGATGTAATGATTTTGATGGTACAGTCTCGTTGGTGTGGAAACTAAATTAATTTAATGACTATCTCAATAAAACGACAAACGTACAGCTGTTCCTCTAACGTGCATATTTATTCTTAAAGCAAAACAACTTTACTATAGGATTTTATACTATTTAACGTCTTCACGCCCTTAGCCACATATGTAGACGTTTAGTTTTTTTTTTTTATAATAAATAGAAAAAAAAAAACATCCCTGAAGAGGTTAAATGTTTTTGTGAGATTACAAAAACTTGGTTTAAACGTAATTTAAATACAAGGAATAACAAAAATGCAAAGAACAGTAAATGATAAGCATTAACAGGGACAGGTATGTAAATATTGATCTGACATGCGTAATAGGAATGATTACTTCATAAAACGGAAACGTTTGACTTTTTATTCTTTTGAAATTATATTCTATGTATATTCTTTTGAAAAGAAAAACGAGAATTACAACATCCCCGCGATGTTTTTGCGCGCGGTTAAAACAACACGCTTCTGATAACTATACTTTCACCGGTGATTTAAATTACCTGAGAAACTGAGTCCTTCAGCGTCTTACAATGGGTACTGTGTTAATTTTTTGTTCATTTCGTAGATCGTCGAATGATTGCAACGTTTAGACAGCGAATACATTCATCACAATCCATTGTACAAATTAGACACCATTGAAAAATTTAAAAGATATATCTTGTACGAATGAAAATAATATTTTTCATGGCATCTAAAAAAAAACACAATTAATGCATCTGTTAATCATTCTGTATTTAAATTTGTCAATTCATAGATTATATTGAAGAGAAGTTACATCATAAAGTTGAGAACCTTCGCTCTGTCTCAGACTGTCTTCTGTTTGTAAATATACTTGACTCGAGTGCTCGTAAAGATCAATTAGCACGAATGTGATGGTTCGTTTAAACCAGGATCAATGATCCATTTAGTATCATTAAAAAATTAAGATTTATTTGTTTATGAAAGCTTCGAGATCCGTTGGAAGATCCGATTAGAAACCTCTTCTACGAATGAATGCAGTGGGAAACTAACGCACGCAACGCCAAAAGGAATCTGGAGCGGGCTGTAAAATTGAAATTAGATTTCAGGAAGTGATAAACAGAAGGATGTGCTTGTCTCCCATTGAAATATAAGCGGGAAACATTAACGTAACGTCGACCGTATCGTCCTTCCACGAGAAGAAGACACAACAGCCCGTGTTTACATCCCCACTCTTGCTGCAGTCCGCTGATTGGCTGTCACCGATCCTCGTCACTGATGTCGACCAATGCCTGTGAGTCAGCGGACTGCAACAGGAGTGGAGATGCAAACACGCTGTGCCTTCTTCTCGCGGAAGAATGGTACACATTCGGTGAAAGAATTTTTGCATAATACCTTTTCTGACAGATGTTGTTTGCCCCCGTTAATCGACTGAAAAAAGTACCGATAGAGCAACGATGCTACGTGAATATCAATAACAGTACGTACGTGAGTCTCGCAATGTTGTTATCGAATAGTCATTCATAACCAAAGAGATATCTAACGCGTTACAAGATAAACGTTTGTCGCGCTAACAGGTGAAGATTGAAAAATTCTAATTATGATACCCTATATTACTCAATGATTTGTTATCTAGAATTGCGTGGATGCCTCGAGGAGATGTTTATTTCCAAGAAGCAAGAGTGAAGGAAAAGCCTGTGTTCGGAAACGTGATTGAGGGCGGCGTGGGTGTGAGAGGAGGGCAAGTTTGTCGGTAGAACGGGGGACTTATTTTCCAACCGAGTCGCCCCTGTTTTACCGAGAGAATGCTCTGTTTTTTAACGCCCTTCTCGAATCGCTGTACGAATATGGTCGCTAACTGTTTATTGCGTCACGACCGAAGCTAAATTTGGCATGGGACGACCGGACAAGCCATCCGTCGAGTTTATTGACAGATTACACGGACAACGTATCTCTGATGCCTTCGAACGACGACAGATCTATAAATGAATTCGTAAAAAATAGTCATAAAAAGATCTTCCTACGACCGAACACATGTTTTATTCAAACTGCGAAAGATCGTCACTGTTTGAATGTTAAGATCATTAAACTTTACTTTTCTCTATGACTATGACTAATATTTACTACATGATGACTATAGTACATACTACCAGTGACGAATCTAGAAGTGCACAAAATCTCTAGAAATTATAAACAGAACTAAATATTAATTTATTAAATGAATTTTGTTGGCCAATGAAAGGGGAGCTTCTAGCCTCTGCAGTCCCCCCTTTTGCATCCGCCATTGCATACTACGTTCAAAACAGAGGAAGAGACGCTCCATTGCCTCTCATTTCTCAAGATGCAGCATCATCTGCTACGTGTATCGAGGGTATCGCAACATTGAGGTAAAAAAAATAAAATAGGCGTTACTCAAGGTGCTTCGATAATTAATTACTAGCCTCGTTCGCGGTGGAGAGCACCGTTATTGGCGTTCTTACGTTAGGAATTCATTTATATGTTTTCCGCCTCGACTTTAAAAGAAGTGAAAAACAGTTACTTCGAAAATGGCTGCGTCATGTATGCGTAATTTATTTAGATATGTAATACATTCACGCTTGCGAATAATTATTATAAATTACAGAGGTTATCGACAACAAACGATTTTCTAGGTGTGGCGTTCATTGTATGCAATATTTTAAGCGATAACCATGCTTCCTTAATAAAACAGTTCCCTCATTGTTCTCCACAGAATATTAAGTTTAAAATAACGTTTTTTATACTTGTTTTGCAATAACAGAATTACTAAAACAATTTATATTTAATAGACAATCTCGGAGACCACAAGATATAAATTATATCAAGGAAACGACTCGTGTGTAGTACAAAATGAGACGACGATTAAATAATGTCTACAAGCTCTACTTTTACTTGATTCAAATGTAACGATGGCTCTTCATGCAGACACAGTTGGTGATCGTCAAACAAGCACAATACGTAGCAATGGTAATTCAATGAATGAGCGTCTAAGAGGCGCGTAACGTAACCCTGCTGGTCGTTAATTGAAAAATGAAAGACAATGAGAAATACTAGTCTCGGGTTGAATAAAATTCAGAAATCAACGGCATTTTCAAAATATTAGCGTATTTTCCGTGTCAACGCCTCGTATCAATTACAACCGAACGGAAGTTTTAATTGGTTGTGATCGCTATGTAACGATTACTAAGGTAATTGGCTGTGAAACAATATTTTCTACGAAACGAAAAGAAATACGTATATTCTTAAAATAATTAAACCTATCGTAGTATCATAAACTTGTTTGATGTCCAACAGCACCATAAAATTATTTAACTCAACATCTCAGATTAAAGCGAAAACATTCTACAGTAGAGAAAAAGTCACGTATGCGCGAGTTGAATAACCTCTAATTTTCATGCAGAGGCTGAAAAACAATTATAAACCATAAATCATTCTATTAACGCTGTCCGTTTTAAATATATATCTTATCAGAATCTTTTCAAATTCTACTTTAAAAGTTATTACTTAAACCGCATATCGAATGATATCTAAATGTGGAGCCATCTTGCGCAATAATTCGTAACAATTTCGAGTTTATATTCCACGTGTACCGCTGCGTACGCTCAGAGGCGTAGAAAAACTTTCGAGGATTCGAGACACGTGCAGATGCGTCGGGAAAGGTTATATCGTTCTGCACGTCTTATGACACGCTCAACTGTTATCTAAGGAGCAACCATCAAATAGATTTGTGTACAGATGTACACGTGCTTGGAACACTTTTGCCTTCTAACAATAAGTAAGCATATATAGTTACCGCTTACCGCGAGTAATGCCGTTCGCGCCTTTCGCAACGATTTACGACTCGCGTCGTTCGTTGCATAGCCAAAGACTGAGCCCGAACGATTGATCGTGGTGCCGTAAGTAATGCGATATCCCGCAAGGAATGCTCGGCGATACCTTTAAACGCGAATCTCTGTCGACAGCGTACGTAGAACTTGACCCCGCCGCGTCAATCCATCGCCGTTCGGTGTCAGTGACCTGCCTCAAAAAAAGAAACTAATTCCACCGGCCAGTGGCCCGTTACACACTCGTCGCACACACAACCGCGAACGGATTCTGCGATCTCCCGAGACGAATTCAGAGCCGCCTGTCGTTTGTTTCGGTGACTGGATCCACGTACCCGATCGATCTATCGCAGTGGTTCTTAACCTTTACGATACCACGGTGCTGTTTAACCCTCCATAACCCAACTTTGTTCGTTTCGTCATACCAATGCCATAAATTGAACGTATCGATGACCGGGGTAACGTCGAAATTAACCGTACTTACGTTAGTAATAATCTTCGAAACTGTATAAAATAAAAATTACTAGATCTATTCTCGACCATTCACAGCTCAATGGTTAAGACCACTGACCTGTCGTTCCGAAACAGAGATAGATACAAATTTCAAACAACGAATGTAAGTTATACGAACTTTTACTTGATTTTTCATGAAATGAAAGTTTGAATTTGAACTACAAAGCGAATTTATATTTCGCGATGAACGAATAAAAATTGATTTATATAACTGTGCAATCGAATAAACGTTGCAAATTAATCACCGTACTGTGTTTATATTCGTCATCTATTATTATCGAATATTTAGTCCATCACTGTTTTGAGGTTATCTATTAGAAATTTAGTGGGACGAGCGTCGTTGATCTACGTCTCATATAAAATACGACAAATTGTGCGTTCGAAATAGGTATGGTAATATTTGAACGATTTTGTAATTAAAATTAGAACAACGTTACATTGTAATCTGTGTGAGACAGATATCGACATTCAATTCTACTTTGTTTTCATTATTGCTGTTGAATATTACATTCTGAATACAGTGAAAACTCGATAAATGTCGCTACTCCGGGTCCGGTCAGCAACACTTACGGAATAGGAGAATCGTCTTTCGAATTTGATTGTAGTTTGCCGACGCTTCGAACGTAGAAAGAGTCAGTAGCTAAAGAAGAAAGAGGGACTGAAACTCGGATTTATCGCCCCAGTTTAAATATCCGCGTCAATGTGACCACACTACTGCACAGAAGAAAGTTTTTTATTTTTTACTTTTTGTTAATAAAAATTTCACTATCATGTTGGGGAGATTTCTCTGATTAAAATGAGGCTAAACACGATATAAATCGGTCAATATTTGGTAGCATAATATTGAATTAAATATTGTACTTGCGAGTCTTTCTCTCTTTATTTATCCTTCTTGTGCTGTCCTTTTCTATGCTCGGAAATATCAAAGAACGACGCATCGAGGTGCTGGCTACATTTATCGAACGGGAGGTAGCTATTTTCAAACGGAACGGTTCCACCGTTTCGTAAGTGATCAAAAACTGCAACACTTATGAAATAGGGGGTTTCGTTAGCTACCACTGTTCGATAAATGTACCAATCCACTGACCTTGCGAAGATACGAGTACACAATATTTAATTCAATATTATGGTAACAAATATTGGCCGATTTATATCGTGTTTAGTCTCATTTTAATTAGAAAAATCTTCCCTACATGATAGTAAAATTTTTATTAAAAAAAAGTAAAAAATAAAAAACTTTCTTCTTGTACAGTAGTGTGGTCACACTGACAGGGACATTTAAACTAAGTTGACGAAGGCAATAAAGATTTTTAAAGAAAGCCGCTACGTCTCCGGTTACACTTCGCCTCACTGGTTCAATGGGGATCCCCCTAGTGGTGGGGATAAAAATGTATCATTTATGGAACAGCTCTTGAAGACATTTATCGAGTTTTCACTGTACAATGTTTACATTTGGTGTCTAATAACGAATAGTATTTGCAATTCTAATATTTTAGAAACATATTTTACGGGAAATAGATCAAAGGCTGATTTTTACTGAAAATCGAAACTGAAACTTTTGTAAGGTTCGAAACTCAAAATCCAGAATTTAAAAATGAGTATAAATTCAACTGAATTATTATTATTTAAATAAAACTAAATTCGTATCGTCACAATATTTTCGTATATTGTCGTAACGTGTATGTGTATCTCGTGTTGCAAGAGTTTCGAGATTCAAGAAATCGAACCTCGGGTTTCGAGGTTTCGAGCGACCAATCAGAACGTTTCCCTCCTTTTTCGTTCGCAACTATCGTCGTGCAGCCATTTTACTCGGTTAAAATGTTTCTCTTGATAATTCAATTATGCAATATTTGCGTCATGTAAAATTCATTTGTTGTTTTACCCTCGATATTACGTGTGCTTGCAACAGTACTTCATTTAAAAGCTGATAATCGTGATTGACGAGATAATTGCTCGTTACGTCGTTCAGGTATACAATTTTGTAACGGTTGAAGAGAACTGTATATACTTGATCGCTTCCTAGACGTTCTGTTTATCATTTAATCAGATAATCGAGTTATTCCCACGTTAATGATTGAATTATTTGCTTGTCAAGGCCGATGACGATATCAAAGATCTAATTGTAAGTATAATAAAATAAATTCAACTGGATTTCTTATTAAAACTAACAGATTAAATTTTCGGCTTCTTTTTTTAAAGTTCTCATCGAATGAGATATAAAAGTATGATATTATGGGAAAGACCATAAACTAGAAAGTGTAATTAAAAGAACTTGTATGTTTTTCTTAACACTCTGATATTATGTAAAAATACCAATAATATTTTTACATCGTCAATTCATATGCAATCAATGCAACATTATACCCATTGTTACTGCTACGTTATTCTGTTGAGAAACGTAGTTGTAAAACGAGTATGAGTAATCCCCCTTTCAAGACGTCTGACTGTACTCTTTGAACAAATCATCGTATCAATTAAGTTGATTGTATTGGTCGTGCATCGAGACAGCTCTCAACGGTTATGTTTCCAACTGCTCGCACGACCGTTGAGTCGCGTCCACAAATGTATGTAAGCAATGCAACGCTGTAAACGTAAACGTAAAAATGTATAAAAGACCAATGGCGTAAAAATTAACAGAGACGAATAATTGTCTATCCGTTGCTTGTTAAACAGAAATGAAATTTTCGATCGTAGGGATTTTGTTTGCGAAGAACGAGAGCGAATTTCTTCGTTGCATCGGCTCGTCACTGCAAATGAGAACGTTGGCGATAACAACGAAACGTTCTGACAAGGAAACGGCATTTCTTCAAAGGAAAGCGACGAGACGACAGCGGAAGTGTAATGCGTTTGCACGTCTCTTTGTATCTGCGCAAGATAAACAACTACACGAGCGAGGGTCAAGCGTGAGAGAATTGACCGATCACGAGGAAATTTTATGTATGTGTGGTATCCGGTATCATCGTCGGTGAATCTTGCATTACGTACCGACACAGTGTGGGTAGGGGATTGGTAAGTTATACAAGAGCCAGTAACACACTAAAGTGATATAGAAATAATAATAAAAATACCTTTTCTATGCACTTTCTAGACGGATACAAGTATTGGCACGAATCGTAAAGTACATTATATCGTCGTTTCTTCGAGAGACGTAATTTTAAGATAATGACAAGAAAACTCTTGGCAGTCATCTACGTTATTTAATCGTTTAAATAATCAATAGAAAGTGCCAACGCCTGGGAAAACGAAAGATGCTATCAACCGAGGATAGAAAGGTAACGCTAAACTTATTTAATATCAATAAATGCTATAAAAAGGTTGCAAAGATGGTAGAGAAAGATCGCTCTACTGTATGAAGCACTATTTATTTATTTCACATACAGGGTGTTCGGCCATCCCTGGGATTTTAGAGGCCAAAATAAGATGAAAATCAAGAATATCAATTTTTTGTTTGAGGCTTTCTTAAAAAGTTATTAACAATTCAATTAAAAAATTTCAAATCGTTCTAGAAAAATTATTTTCGGTTGCGGGGCTCGATTATAATCACTTTTGGTGAATAGACATACCCCCGAAATCCTATCCACTTTCTAGAAAAAAATTCGAGGTGTGAAATTTTTCGGAAAAAAAAAATTTTCAAATCGTTCTAAAAAAATTATTTTCAGTTGCGGGGGTCAATTACAATCATTTTTGGTGAACAGACATACCTCCGAAATTCTGCACATTTTCGAGAAAAAAATTCATTACAGGCGGAACTTTAAAATTTTTAAATAAAATTAAAATTAAAATTTTTCCTAGGGGTGGCCGGTACACACTGTATAAGCAAGAAGATCGCAGTAGTAAAACAATTTTAGTACAGACAAAAGAACATTTTAAAATTTATGTAAACAAGTATAATTAAATCAGTGGTCTGTTAATGCAAATGGAATTATAAAATGAGACAGAAAAATAATAAATAAAATGATAAAGGTTCAAAGTTACGTTTATTAGAAGTTGCGAAGAATAGCGAGGAAATTTTATGAATGTACGGTATCCGATATCGTCATCGGTAAATCTTGTGTTACGTTCTGACACGGTGTGGGTAGGGGATTTGTAAGTTATCCGTGACGCTGCAGGCAAATCTAGAGAGTTTCTTTGGTGTTTATCCCCTGGGCGCAAAGATATTTTAGTCGATCGTCCATTCGATCCTACCGTAATCTTTTCATTCGAATCATATACATATACGGATTCCTTTGTACACGTATTGTTATCAATTTGCTTAACTTTGCTACATGATACTAAAATTTGTAAATCTTGTTAGTCATAGAGGGAACAATATGCGATATATTAATCTACAAAATTTAATTTTCGGAAAGGAAACCTGTTCGATAAGCATGATTTTACATCTCTGACTAGTACTTATTTTGATATTAAGAATCTTTGCTAGCGAAGGGATTGAAAATTATTTGAAAAATTAATGAAACACGTGATTCGGTATCGTCTAACCCGTTGAATCAGAGGACGGAATAGGATTGAAAAAACTAAACAATCGAGCGTCGCCGCTCGCGGTGCGTGCAACGCAGGGTTAAGAATATCGGCAAAAGGACAGACTCTCTTCGTGTTTCTTTGCGACGTCCCCGAACGTTAAATCGGTACAAGAGGAGAAGAGAAGAAACTGATCGGTAGCGAGCCGGCTTTACGAACGCGTCCGGGGGGGGCCCTGCGTAACCAGTTTGTGATTGGTTAAGCGTTGTACCACGTGGCGGCGTTGCGCGGGTGGGGATTGGCCAGCACGGCCGCGCATCGCGGGCGAAAGCGGCGAGTTTTGTTCTAGTATTTACCCCGCGGTGTAAAGCTGGCTCTCGAGCTCTCCGGTGTCCTTAAGTCACGTTCCATTGTTCGGATCGTTCCAACGGTTTCTTCCTTCCGTCGTGGAGGGTCCCTTCGTTGTTCCCCGGGCTTTGTGCTTCTTCGATGGTGAACGCGTGAGAATTGTGCGCCATGTTCGCGCCGCGAGCAGCCACGCGATTCACCGGCTACCGTGGCAAGTGATACGTTTTTCTCGCCGTACGGCCAGTGTGTGCGTTTAAATACCGTTCAACGAAGTTCGTCGCTGTGTGTGCGTCGTGTGTTTGTGGGTGCGACCGTGCCGGTCCTTGCCGTTAGGAAGGCAAAAGTCTAGTGGTAATAAACGACGAGAGGCGAGAGCACGCTGTGGGGATCGTGGAATGCGCGCTGACAGGTATCCACCGCCGCGCCGTCGCACTCGGAATTCACTGTGGCGGTTCTTACCTTCTTTCTCTATCCTTTATCCTTAATACGTTACTTCCTTCTCCCTCGTAACAGCGTAAGGCTTTGTGTGTTTACGCGAGCGTCCACCTCCCTGCGGTCTTCCCTTTCTATCCTCCTTTTCCTTCGTCCTTTCTGTCTTGCTTCTCTGAATGGTTCTCCCTCGCGCCTGCGTTGCGTGGCGGACGCTTCGCCACTTTTGACAGCTGTCACGGCGAAGTGTGCGTAGAGGCGACTCGTTTTATTTCATTGGATATCGGGACGTGTAGGGGCAGGGAGGACATATTGCCGTTCATTACCCTTCTTTCTTCTATTGTGTCGTCTCGGTGTTTTTATCTCGATAAATCGTCGACCGGGCTCGATAAAACGGTCGAGCGTTCAAATTCACTCGCGCCAACGAGCCTCGAGTAATTATTTCGAAAATTCTCGTACCTTCGCGGGACAGTTTTACGTAGCCGTGGAATCAAAACACCGCATGGTACAATGTAGCTCCGATACGCGGAATAAAAAGTTTCCAGCAGATACCCTTAATCTATTTATGACGCGAATCTGATATCTCCATTACAATAATAGATGGAGCGATTAATTTTTTAATAAACGTTAATCGCACGAACGTTGCCGGATTACTAAACATTATCTGCGGCACAAAGCACGTTATGTAAAGTGAAAGTGCTTTCAGAAACATGTTAAAGGTTGCGGTACGTGATGTAAAATCATAAATATTGTAAATTCCGGTTTTGGTTACGCTCGATTTCTCGTGTACTCTTGTCGAAGAATAGGAACATTTGCGACAAGGAAAAATCAGATGTTATAGAGTTCGAGGTTCGTTTTCTATTCTGTGTGTATTTAAAGGTGATTTCGTGCTTGTCTACTTGTACATTCTATTAAATTAAGCGGTAACGTGTCAGCCGCTCGGTACTGTTAAAAAGCCTGCGTGACGTGGCAAGCGGAATGAAACAGTTCGTATCCTTTTCTTTGAAGTCGACCGCCAAGGACATTTGACAAACGACATGAGAATGCCGCTTAACCAGAGACAGTTGAAATTAAAACATTCGTTGAAAATCTTTCTTAGCATTCTCACACTCGTCCGGCGTGTACAGTTTGAACGTACACACTGAATTATCTCATAGATCAGCGTCTCTCAAACCGAGGTCCGCGAACGCGTTGGGGCCCATGCACTCCCGGAAGATAAAAGCATATTGTGTCCGTGAAATAAGAAAACTGCTGTAATATTTTATTTTTATATCTTATTGCATTTAGGTATGTAATTTATTACCATCATATGCAAATCAGTATGTAGTATAGTGCAAGACAAATATGTTACGGAATAATAGTTGAAGTTTAACTATTTTCAGTCACGACTGCTGACTAATTTATCACCAATGTACGTGATTGTTGAGAAACACACGTCATCCGGCTGGTTGCATTTGCCTTTGACCGGACGATCAGTTTGCCCGAATACAAATAGTTTCATTTAAAAGTAAAGTGAAGGTGCCCTTGAAATCTCAGCACCAGCAACCATACACAATACTATATTGCAACGTCGATAAGAAAAAGTATCTTACCAGAAAAGAAACTAATATATTTTTATTTAATGTATAATAAGTGAATCCTCGATTTTGTTTAATAACATCTCCAATCTTTGTAAAAATATTGTTAAGTTTCTTCGATATGTCTTTTTTCTTCTGAGAATCTGTGGATTCCCCTTTTCTTAACTTTTGTTTTCTTAACAGATTTTATTATATAGGGTGTTCGCCCATCTCTGTGAAAAATTTTAATGAAAGATTCCAGAGGCCAAAATGAGACGAAAATCAAGAATACCAATTTGTTGATTGAGGCTCCGTTAAAAAGTTATAAAAACATTTCCGGCCACACGGTATATTTTCGGTAAAGAATTTTTTTCTCGAAAGTGCGTAGGATTTCGTAGGTATGTCCATTCACCAAAAATGCCTGTAATTGATCCCTGTAACTAAATATAATTTTTTTAATATGATTTGAAATTTTTTAATTTTGACTAAACATTTCACACATTCTCGAATTTTTTTCTTGAAAGTGGGTAGGATTTCAGGGGTATACCTATTCACCAAAAATACTTGTAATTGTCCCATGTAACTAAATATAATTTTTTTAGAATGATTGGAAATTTTTTAATTTCGTCCAAAAATTTCAGTACCTACTCGAATTTTTTTCTTCAAAATGCGTAAGATTTCGCGGGTATGTGTATTGACCAAAAATGATTATCTTTGACCTCCGCAACTAAAAATAATTTTTCCAGAACGATTTGAAAAAATTTGTTTTCGCCGAAAAATTTCAGCTTCTACTCGAATTTTTTTTTCGAAAGTGCGTAGGAATTCAGGGGTATGTTTAATGATCAAAAATAATTGTAATTGCTCCCCATAACTAAAAATAATTTTTCCAGAACTGAATTTGAAATTTTGTAATTTAATTTTTTAATAACTTTTTAACGAAGCCTCAAACAAAAAATTAGTATCCTTGATTTTCTTCTTATTTTGGCCTGTGGAATCTCCCATTAAAATTTTTCCTAGGGGTGGCTGAACACCCTGTATATCGGACGCAGATCCTTAATGCATCATAACATATCAAACCAGGAAGCCCGCGAAAAGTTCTAACCGTATAAACACGATCTGCATCGAATTAGAACAATGAATCATATGATCAAAAGCACGCGTGCATTGCGTAAGCGGGATGACGCAGGAAGAACATCAATTTAGAAAACATTAAAGTCTTCTGTCGTGCTCGATATCAGCGTTCTAGATTGCGCGTCCCGTTCGACCGCTGTTTGCGCTTCTGTTAACCTTGATCGTCGCGAGTGTCGAATAATGTTTTGCCTCCTCGCTCTTCGATTTTCTCGTCGTTCTTTGTTTCCTCCGACTGTCCTTTCAATTCGTGTTCTTTTTTAGACGGTGGCCCCCCGAATCCATTTCGCCTCGTGTCCCATGGAAGGTATAAACGCGTCGCTGCGTTTGGTCGAAGTCACGGCGAAGAAGTAACGGCCCTCCGAAGGTGGTCAATTATTCCGACCGATCGGAATAATAAAATGCAGCGGTAACTGGTGTCGGAGTGGGGGGGGTGGACAGAGCCTGGTGGGGGTTGGGTTTCACTAAAATTACGAGCACGCGTACTGTTTCAGCCGATCCAACCAAAGAAATACGACTGTAATAAAGTTTCCTCTTTCTTCGGCGTGTGTGTGTGTGCGTTTCGGGAAGCAGCGTGGATCGCGAGGGGGCGACAACCTCTCCGATCCTTATCCAATTACGCATGCGTAAGAATTCCGACCCGCGTCGTTTAAATCCATGGCCTCGTAGCAATATTTAAACTTAACGCAGCGTCACGGTTGTAGATACCTCTTTCCTCATTTGCCCGTTGCAATGTAAATGCCAGAGCCGGGCAAAATTTTATTCGGATAATAGCTGAATTATTATCCCTCCGTTAGGTAACTTTCCTTTGGTATTATTTAGTACACTTGTCTGCACAACATATGTATATCAAGATCAAGGTTACTATCAAAGTGTCTGCTAATGTAAATACTTTTTGTGGAGATTGTTGTTGATGCAACTTCATAAGTAGACATTGGAAGCTGTGATCTTAGTGAACAAATTTTTAATCCTTGTAAAATGTAAGGGTGCTTCGTCGTGCTGAAAAATTAATCTACTTTCAGCTGAAACATTGTCGTCTATAAGCTCCCGATGTAAGCATCATGTCCGTATATTCTTGGTTGTTGTATCTTGTCATTTGCGATAACTTGTCACAAACTCACAGTGAAAAGGTCTTAGGATCAACAGAGTACCGATAGTACCGTATTACCGTCGATGTTTACAAACACAAATACAATTGCAGATAAGCGAAGATACGCTGGTAATGCAGTACGCTTCACGAATTCTCAAAATGGACCTTTTCGAAAGAAATCCACGCATGTTGATTTCGATTATCGGTCGTTTGATAAAAGAATAATATACAGGGTGTTCGGCCATCCCTGGGAAAAATTTTAAGGGGGGATTCTAGAGGCCAAACTAAGACGAAAATCAAGAATATCAATTTGTTGATGGAGGCTTCGTTAAAAAGTTATTAATGTTTAAAGTTCCGCTCGTACTGAATTTTTTTCTCGAAAATGCGCAGGATTTCGGGGGTATGTGTATTCACCAAAATTGATTGTAATTCACCCCTGCAACCAAAAATAATTTTTACAAAACGATTTTTCTTAAAAATTCGTTTTTCATTTTTAATAATTTTATTTGACGCAATACAGAAAAGTTGTCTAATACTTCTTTGTAGATACCCATGAGCTCTACTTTAGAAAAAAGTTTCAATGAGATACGTTCAGTATTGTAGGAGTTATGGCCGTTTGAAAATTGGACCATTTTTATGGAATTTTTTCTGATTTTGCGGGATCAAGGGACAACTTTTCGAATATTTTTGAAATTTCTACATATTCTTCACTAAAATACGCGTTGTTTGCCTTTCGAAACATTAAAATCTTCCAATCCGTTCAGAAGTTATGATATTTTAAACATTTCCATGAAATTTCGAGGAAGCATTTCTGGTCAGAAATTGTATTTTCGGTGAAGAATTTTTTTCTCGAAAGTGGGTAGGATTTCAGGGGTATGTGTAATGACCAAAAATGCTTGTAATTGTCCCCTGTAACTAAACTTAATTTTTTTTCTATGATTTGAAATTTTGTAATTTCGCCTAAAAATTCCAGCACCTACTCGAATTTTTTTCTCGATAGTGGGTAGGATTTCGGGGGTATGTCTATTCACCAAAAATAATTGTAATTCGCTCCCAAAACCGAAAATAATTTTTCCAGAACGATTTGAAATTTTTGAATTGAATTGTTAATAACTTTTTAACGAAGCCTCAAACAAAAAATTGATATCCTTGACTTTCGTCTTATTTTGGCCTCTACAATCTCCCATTAAAATTTTTCCCACGGGTGACCGAACACCCTGTATAGATCTTCGGTCCAACGACGAGCGTTGTTGACCATTCCCATTTCTGGTGAATCCCAGCCTGTAAATAAAACAGACGGGTAAAAAAAAAGTTTGTCGGCAATAGACATCCTTAGCAACCAAGCAGAAAAGTTAACTCTCTAAGGAAAATCATCTTCGTTAAGTGCCTGTACTCTCTAAACATGGTAAGGATAAAGCAGTTGGTTTCGCAAAACTCTCCACACTGTCGCGTGCCCGACATTCCCCATTGCTGTTGCTCTTCGTTTTCTTCAATCGGATTCAGGATACTCTCTTCTAGATTAACAGTTCTGACATTCACTCTTTCAACCCTTTTGTTATGAAAAACTTCCAGTAACATTACAAACGTTGCACCAGGTTTCACACGTCGATTTTTTCAAGACGTTCAAAGTTCGTTCCAAGGTCTCGTTTTCGATCGGTGGGGACAGCGAAGGACGCTTAAACGGGGACTGCAGTACTTACGAGCCTTTTTATCGACATACCGCTGATAATGTTTATGCGTTTGTTTCGAAAACCGATGCAATCACCTCAAACGTATTCGTTCCTTTTTGGGTAACGGGTGTAACTGGCGTTTCGTCGTAACGGCCAGTCCATTAAACGCGGTAATGGGGAGTAAATAATCTAGGGCCGCTCGTAGTTTACATTATTTATTATAAAGCGGAAAATTGCGTCACCGGAGTTACACGGACGACGAGCTCGCCACTTTATTCCCCGCGTAACGATTCCTCTAACGGGCATTAAATTCCACCTATAAAACACATAGTTAATTCCCCAGTAATATCACCTGACAGCCAATCCCAGCGTCTGGAATCCGCGGGAGCCATTGAAAGTTCCACGAGGTGCCACGGTTCATAAACTTCCAACAAAGTCTTCGTCTTCGCGATAATTTCGAATCCCCTCGTGCAATGGCGTCTCCGTCAAACTTCGTTCAGCAATCTTAAACGCAAGCGTAATTCGTTTGACGTCGATGAAAAATAAATATAGAGGATAATTCAGGATAGTTTTAAAGTGTACGTTCAAATAAATACGAAACGTTTAACGAAGCTAATTAGCCACAAGTTAGAAAGTAAAATTCATTATCGAAGATATTTCCTAGCACGAAAGAATTACTTTCCATTTACATTTAGTCCCGTTGAATGTTCAAACCTTGATGCATGTTTTTCCACTGGAAAAATAGTCCTTAATCCTTTGCACTCCTATGTCGAGTGTGATTTTTTCAAGTCCAAACCAAAGAGATAGCGTACACTTGAAAATTACAAAATACAATAACAGTGTAAATAAAACAGATATTCCAACAGGTAAATTTCAAATAAAACACTTAAAAGCGTTGGGAGCTGCTTTGTAACAAAATTGAAATATAATTCGGAGTGCAAAGGGTTAAAATCCATTGTTACGTAATTTGACAAACTTCCTTTTCCCGTTGCGCTCGTCTTCGTCCTCCCAGAGCGAAACAAAGAGAAAGAGAAGGGAGGTACATACGCCGCGTAGAATTTAAATGCCTCCAGGCGCGCCCAGGAATATCGAAGTTTTGTACTGGTTGCAGAGATGGAACCGAGGAAAGGTGCACGGACGCGATGAGAAATAATATGGAGCATGAGGGTGACCGTGGAAAAACGGAAGGAAGGTTCACAGCTCGACGAAGCGGTTAATGATCCGGAGTCACCGAACGCAGCTGGCTACGTCTCTGTCGCCGACAGCTGGAGATGATCACAAACGAGGAGACGAACGAAACGACGACGACGACGCTGGCATCGTCGCCGGTGTTGGACGAATCCGGCGACATGGACTTGGTGAATGGACCGAATCCGTGGGTTCCGGCCTACGGCTTCCAGCTCCAACACCATTCCCATTTTCAACCCGACCACGAGGATCTACGGACTAATGGTTCGTACTGTTTACCGTTTCACTTTCTCTTTTTCCAGTTAACAAAAGCAACGACCGTTTTGTTCCTGTCTTTGCCACGAACGAACTGCTCGGGACACACCTGACGCAACGTGGATTTTGAAAATTGTTCCTCTGTAATTTATTGCTTGCCCCATCCATCGATAATACCAGCGTGCTGAAACAAAAACCAGATAACCACCATATATTTTTTCCAGGAAGAACTATGCCAATTATTGAGAAACTCTTCCACGAAATTGTCGATAGGTATGCTGAACTATACACGATACACGATGTTCCAACTTCGTACTTCATATTGGGTTCCACGGAGGTTTAACGAACCTTTTTTTGGAGGCTCCATTGAGCCAAGACGTGCAAGATTTTTTACAGACAAATGATACGTCCGAAGGTTTCACTTACACCGATAAATATTTTGAAAGTTCGCGGTGGATAATGTTTTGGAAAGTTATTGCAATTATTATTTAACGACGCTTGTAATGAATTTCGTCATTGTGAAACCGTAGCGTTTATTAGGTCTCCGCGGAGCTCATCATGATACACGGTCCGTAAATGTTTCTTTGTATCGCGTATCACCGTCGTAGGTATTTAATGTGGCCAGGTTAAGTAGGACACCCTGTATTTCGGTCATAGGTCTTGCAGCAACGCGATATTACGACACAGTTTAATGGTTCACAGTAATTGGCACCAACTGTCGAGCACGAAGTACATAAGAGAATATTAACTTCTAAAGACTCGACAGCATTAAGACTTTTGATTTTTTAATCATCAGTCGAGCTTTATTTTGTGAAATAAAGACGCGGGGACATGGTGAAAGAAAATTCCTAAACAGCGTTGCGATTTATTGAAGATGCAAGTAAGACCGAATAGGCGAGACATGATATAGCATGCACTGTAAATTTCTGCATTAGAAATTATATCACGCTTTCATTATTTCTGATTTACCGCATCTGTAGCAATCATACTTGAAAAAGAAGTGACTGGCGTATCGTGGGTAATCCATTAAATTTATGCGGATTTCTCAGCTTCCGTTTTACATTCGCGCAATAATAGTTTGTTTCGACGAGTCCAGAGTCACGGAGGAAAATTATTGCAATTCGTTGCAATTCCATTTTTATTTATGTGCAATATTATTATAACACTTTGATGATATTTTTCGTGGTCTACTCGTAAGCTGAGGTTTCTCATTTTTTCCCCCCAGCTTTCACTCGTGACCTACCAAAAATATAGCGTGACCGTACTGTCCTCTTTGAGAAACTCTCGTTCACAGTGTCCCTATTTATTATCTCACTCTTCTACAAAAATTTGCTTTCGATCGCAAGATAAGACATTACACCAAAATTCTAGAGGCTTCGAATTAAATTCTTCAGCAAATTTTAATCCTACGCAGTTACGCGTTGTGTCCTTTTGGCAACGCGACCATTGTACGAGTTACTTCGCAACACCTATCGAACCGTTCCATTGGACATAGATTTCTGGCAGAAATTCCGTAACAAATACGTTTATTCGAGGAGCGTTTATTTTAGGATTGTCTAATTACTAGCTTCTTTCCACGACTTTTCAAGTTCGACCGTTTGCACCGGGATCGTGTAAGAATTTGTTATTGAAACTGGCCGCGATTAGCTCGAACGGCGTTTATTATATCTGTCTGGGAACCGAACCGTTTGCATCGAAGCCTGGAAGTCATTCTGCTCATCTACGCTCTAGATATTGGCGGAGACTTCTATCATTACCGTGATTTCCATCGGGTAGAAAATGGCGCGGGTTTGCATACAAATCGCTTGTTAACTGGTAGACTTAATGCGAGCTACTTTCTATAACCGTGGGCGAGCGCGCGAGAGTTAATGAAAAATTACATCTGGGAACAGGCAGGGTGCCGGTCATGCAATTCCCATTAGGCGAACGAAGACGCCATGGATACTCGTGAAATTTCCGTAAACTGCGTCTGGAAATTTGCGTACGAAAGCACCGAGGGTGAAACGAACGTTTGCATGATCACGCGAGACACCAGTTGATTATTAATAATCGAACGATTTCCAGTAGAAACGTTTCAACTAAATTGTATTTATTTCTTACATAGAATATTTCACCCAACTGTCTACGATAATACAAAACGTTGGAGGAAAACATTATTGATTTCTTCCATCTTTGACGTTGGTAATAATTAGCAATAATTGGACTCGAGATAAACATTAAATTCAATTTAACTCCTTGTATCTCTGATATTCAATCGTATGAAAATAATTAGTAACAATTACACTTTAATCGTACGTTAAATATCAATGCATCGAGTACTGTTTACTCCTTTCGTCTTTGATATTTATTCGCATGAAAATAATTGGACTTCGATCGTACAATAATAAATCGCTAACCGAAACAGGAAGATCTTCCTTTTAAACGTGTTTGTACCAACGATTTGAATTTCGTCAATGATGTTTGTTGTATTCGGTAACGCGGAAGTAATAACAGACTATTTGGGTTCGATCGTACGAATGTTCTGCATATTTGTTTGTTTGGACGCGCGTGTTATTGCGTTGTTTCTTCGATTTCTTCGGTTGCGTCATATTGACACGATTAGAGCAACACACGCGTGCACAAAGCGAGGTAGATCAGCGATTATTTTTGTGCAAGTCGATGGATTATTCACGTCCGTCGGTTGCGGAACGAACAGGCAACAGACGACTGCAACAGCTGGTTCCCCTCCATGATGTTGCAAAGCAACGCGTGCTCCTGCACTTGTGCAAGACAAATCGCGTTCCTGGAGGACGATTTGTTCTCACAATCGTCATTAAGTCTAATCTTCGCGCTTTAGGAGAAAAAAAAAGGTAATAATAGTCTACTCCAATATGGGAAGAAACTTTGATTTTACCGTCCCTGGTCGCAAGAAACATATAATAGATGCTGGGTGTTACTTTAAATATTTTTTTTTATCCCCCTTAGATGTTTCAGATTCGCCATTGACCTTAAATTTTTATCCAGATGAAATACATCAAGGACAACGTCGTATGACTCACCAAGAATTTTATTAAATTCTGCACATAGATTTGCAGTAATTTACACATATTTAGCAACCTTTTGATTTATATTTTTACGAACAATTAGCAACGTTCTTAAAGTGTTCTCGTATCCTTTCTAGAAATGCAAAGTACTGTAATTCACAGAGATATTATTATACTTTATTTCAAATGTTTTATAGAGGGGATAAAATTTCAAAAATTCCCAAAATTAGATGTTAAAGAAAATGAATCTAGACGAGACTCTTGAATCATTAACTGTAAAAAACGAAGTTTCGTTTTCGTGGACAATTCGAGGGGTTTGGTACGGTTGAACAACGCGTAAAGTTGCACGTAATAGCTTTAAAATTACCGCATGAATGCGTCATTTTTTTATCGAGTGAACGATCATCGATCACGTAACTGGTTTTTATTGATTATTCAGATTGAATTGAACGAATCATTTACAAAGAATTACAGACGCAGCGATCGACTGCTTCGCGTTACTCTGATCGAAACAGAATCGAATTCATGGGCAGCGTTTATTATCGGTTCGAATACCTGCTGCACGCTGTTATTTTCTATGGACCGGGTACATTTATTTCTTCTTCCGTAATTGCGTTCTAACTGCTAAGAAGGGAAGAAACAGGCTTCCTGGAATATTCGCTATTTTTTTTATTTCAAGAATTTTAATTTCAACTCGACAGTTTCTGTTTTGTGTCGTCTGTGAACGGGTCGCGTTCATTTCGCGTACATCGAAGATACGTAATGTTTAATTCGATAGCGTTATCGTTTTCCACTCGTGGAAAGTTACGGATAATCACGTTCTTTGGAGTTTGCAGCCATAGAAAGAGCTGCGCTCTTGTGGCGCGCGATTGCAATAACGACGTTCCTCGCGGTTCTGCAAAAGGTGTTCGCCAACAGGTGTCAGGAACTTCAACCGTCCCACATTCGCGCAGATCGGATAAGTGAACGGTAGTCACCCCTATTAGACGCTACGAAGCTCAACGTCTGAGCACACCGTCTGGTGTAACCTGATCTGAGCTCGAATATCAGTGAAACAATACATAATACACGATACAAAGAAACTCTTTTATATTTGTTTTTTTTTTAATGAAACTTTCACCAACGTATTTGTAAGAGTTCTCCAATTAAAACAAGACCAAACACGATATAATTTGTTCTTAACCTATTTCTAACAGAGTATAAAATCGTGTTAAATGCGATTAAATACACACTCATTAAAATATGCAGACATAGATCCAAGTTATATCGTGTTTGGTCTTGTTTAAATCATAGTAACCTCGCAAATATATTAGTAAAGGTTCCATTAACTACGAAATAAGCAAGTTTCATATTGTGTTATTCTTATGTTATCCTTCCTTCGTTGTCCTTTTCTACGCTCGGCAAGATACAAAGTCGAACGCTTGTAGATCGTGCCTTTCTGGGAACTGAAACCCAACCATGCTTTTGTAAACACGAGACATCGGTGTTCCTCGCGGTTGTCCAAGGTTTGCTGCAACGAAACAATCAACACGATCTTCCGCGACAGAAGATTGTGCTCTAAAAGAATCGACCGATTACCCACGGCTCGATTATGACGCAATTTAGCTACATCGTTTTTCTTTCGTGCACGTGCGATACTCGCTACACGGTAGACGTTATTTTTGCTCTTTCGTTACGTAAGGTTCGCGAGCAGAATGAAAGTGTACGCTAATGCTGGTCCTTTCCGCCAGAGTAACCTCTGAATTAACGGTTCGAGTGCGTTCATTCTGTCACTGCACACCGCCGTATGCAGTTATGCACCGTGCTACACTTACCAACGAATCGTAACAGGCATCAGCGATTCCTACGGAGTAACCGGTCGTTTTGGAGACCGCGAGGAATATAAATAACGTTACGCTTCGCGGGGGTAGCGTCGAGCAAATTTTAATCCGAGGGAACGATTAAAGTTGAACGATCGTTAATTGGGCCAGTCAGAGACAGCGATAATTATAAATAGAATTTAAAAACAGAAATAGGTGAAGGTTTGGATAGTCTCTCTGGATTGATTCGGTGCTCTCCCGTTTCAGAGAGTCCCATTATTTTGTATTCCGATGCAATACGTGCTATTGACAGGCAGTGTGTTAACGTTTGTTACATGACTTGACTTCTCTAAAGCGTTTGACACGCTTGATCGTGGTCAGCTGGTTGTTGAACTACGACCCATGTCGCTCTCTATCACGTGGTTACGTTCGTACCTTACTAGCAGCACCGAACAGGTCATAACCGACGTCGGTGCTCCTCAATTTTCATCCATTCGCTCAATCACACGCGGTGTATCACGAGGGTCTATATTAGGACCACTTTTATTCGATGTATTCGTTGTTGATCACAATTACCACGATCATTTGACGTTTCCTGTATAGATCATGTACGTGGACACGAATTAGGCAACGTTTGAGGGTACCAAATTGGTCTTTACAGGGTGGTCCAATACTAAATCCATCCACATCCTCTTGTCGACGATGTTATTATTTTTCCTAACGTTTCAAATTGTGTTACAGATTTTTCTCGTCATCTTGCAGGACTAGATTCTAAGGATGGAAACGTTGAAAGGATGTTACATGAAAGTTGGCTACGATTCGTTGCAAATGTATAAGCAAATATTGAAACAGGAAACGACGAAGTTTACATTGCAGGATCTGAAGGGATCCTTTGGCTCCCGTGATCAACAAATCTTTCTGATTTCTACCTGGAATTCTGAAACAAACATGTTAGGATTACTTGTTCTCTGAATTAATAAAATAATATTAACGATGTGATGGAGAAACGTGCCTTACTTTTTGAGCGATAAATGACTAAAGAAAATTCTGTACTTGATGGAAAATATCAGGTCTCAAACCCATTTTGGATTCTTTTTTGTAGATCTTAGGAATTGTTCACTCGATATTAAGACACTGACTGTGAATTTGGATTATCAACAAAGGAAGTCTATGCAGAATAACGTAATTGGTATCAAATAACAAACACTCAAAAGTTGTATTAAAATTAACGAATGCATTTGTTTATTTTGTCAGCTTATTAAAACTATATTTAGCATAGGTTTACACGATTCTCGCCAGACTGCAGCATTTAATACAATAGATAGAGTAGGGGATGGAATTAGACAAGGGGGTGAAATTCTATCCCCTGACCCTGCTGGTATTCTTTCGAATTTTAATGTAAATCTTACAGAATGTGTTTCTAATTCTCAAATGTTATTTTGCTTTACTTTTCTTCGCAGTATAATTCTTCCTGTAAAAGTTATAAAACAAGATCAAGTTGATCCATACGTTCACGAACATTACGCTGGCTGGTATTAGTAATCCACGACAGGTGGGTCTTAAAGTTTGTAGCATGTACAATATCAGGAAAACGAATTGTACCTGTTGGTAAAAAAAGAACGATAAGTGTAACGACGAAAGTGTGCAAAAATTATTTTTTAAACACTTACCATTTGCGCTATGGTAATCATTGGTTTTAGTGGCTGAAGCTTTCGTTGTACGCTCGGTCCATAGGTTGATAATAAATAATATGTGTACATTATCACGTGTATCGTAGAATTGACAATACCAATCGTGAGCGACATGCCAGTGGACACATATTTAACGTTCAACCAAGTAACGATGACCGTCGTAATATGGTGATACAAGTGCAAGAACGAAACTTGTCGGTTCTTCTTTCTCAGTACGAAGACGATCGTCTCGAATAAATCAAAGACTCTTATGACAAATCCATAATATGATATTGCACATATCTGCAACGATATTATTTTCCATCTTATAGAAATAATATAGAAATAACAAACACACGCATATTATATTCACAGTAACTCCTGCTTTTTTCGGCGAAATTAAAAAATTTCAAATCGTTCCAAAAAAATTATTTTCGATTTCGAGAGTCAATTACAATCATTTTTGGTGAATAGACATATTCCCGAAATCCTACGCATTTTCGAGAAAAAAATTCGAATAGGTATGAAATTTTCGACGAAATTAAAAAATTTCAAATCGTTCCAAAAAAATTATTTTCGATTTCGGGAGTCAATTACAATCATTTTTGGTGAATAGACATATTCCTGAAATTCTATGCATTTTCGAGAAAAAAATTCGAATAGGTATGAAATTTTCGACGAAATTAAAAAATTTCAAATCTTTCCGAAAAAATTATTTTTAGTTGGGGGGTCAAAAACAATCATTTTCGGTCAATACACATATCCCCGAAATTCTACACATTTTCGAGAAAAAAATTCCAGTAGGTGGCCAAATTTTTCGGCGAAAAAAAAAGATTTCAAATCGTTCTGGGAAAATTATTTTCAGTTAAAGGGGTTAATTACAATCATTTTTGGTCAATAGATATACCCTCGAAATCCTACGTACTTTTGAGGAAAAAAATTTTTTACCGAAAATATACTGCATTAATGAGGCTCTAGAGCCCTAGAAAAATGGTCCGGAAAAATACATTGGATGTAAGGTCTACTCGTATGCTAACTACTTAGTGACGTATCGACAGCCTTACAGTTTTCTGAGTGAGAAATGTCTCAAATTTTATTATTGAAACTTACCTTGAGTCCTTGCGGAGTTGGGTCATAATTGGGTGGAACGCAATATATAAAAAAGTCCTCGATCCATCCAGAATCCACTATAAGGTAGATTATGGTAGCGTTTAATATGATTTGAATTAGGTTATAGACTCTAACCAATTGGTGCAAGCCGTATGGTTGCTTGTTTGCCATGAATTTTGGGCCGCATCGTAGAACGAAGTATGTGTACGAAAACAAGATGAGTACAATCGGTACAGGAGAACTTACAAGAAACCAGTCGTTCGTCCTCTTGTCTGCAAAATATTTTACAAAACGATTGAACATTTTTAGGAAAAGTATTTATGGCAGAATTTGTTGGAAATTAAATTTAAAAATTGTTCTCTTCCATTCAAATTTTCGATACTCGGACACGATTGAAACAAAAATTAAAAGATCGCGTGAAATAACGTGGAATGAAATAATTTCGTCTCTGAGGAAATAGAAGTACACGTGTCTTCGAATCGATTAAATATTTCGCTAGTTCGACGTGTCTCCTTTAATCTACGTTCGTGAACACTAATTGTGGCATGATCTGCTTTTTGCAAAATCTGTTATTTTCTGTAACTTTCACTTTCGATCACACTCTTTGCGATTAAAAAAAAAAAAAATGCACACGTAGAACCGAAGTTCGAAAGTGCACTAGAATCAGTCCATGTTTATTTAACTCGTCGAACACTATACGCGATGACGGTGGCAATATTTCCAACGATTCATGCCATATTAAAATCACAAACGAGTTACGAGTTTTCGATTTAACGAAACTGAGAACTAAATAACTGTCTTATTATTTTGGAAACTTGTCGCTGTTGGTATTCGTGTATAGACGCGAGCTTCAGGTACTTTGCACTAAATTTTTGCACGATTAATCGCTTTCGTATCCTGAATTACGTTTCATACTTTATAAATAACGAATTGATCTTGCTACTCACCAGCAAATTCCGTATTAAGATAATGGTACAGCTCCAATAGACCCATGGTGATCCTCTTTTTTAGAATTTAGTGTTTATAGAATTTACGCCGATTTAACGCGCACGGTTAAGTATAAATATAATTTAGGATCCGAGTTGCCAATTTTTTTAATGCTTTTCGTACCTACTCCGGAGAACAATAGTGAAATTGTGTCAATAATTTACTCTATATATACGTGTCCAGTATGACTATGCATTATGAATATTAACTATGAATTGATCGTGCACGCTATATTTGTGGTTCTCAGGAACTATGAAGTAGAACATTTTTTTAAATAATTTGTGAAATTATCATGCAGGGCGTGGACGTCCCACATTTTGTTGATAATTTACAATTGAAACGTTATTTACGTATTCGGAAGTCGCATGGAAATGTTAATGTACCAGGAAATTATTTCGAAACAATGACGTTATTGGAGGCCTTATCAACCCTGGTATATAATGTTGTATTAGAAATTCAATCTTTCACTGCGTCACGTGCAATTACAAATTAAATCGTAAGACAAGAGGTTAAAACAGATCAATTCGAACAGCTTGTTTCACAGATAAAAAGGCACGTTTCAGATAGGAATTGTTTCGAGATAAACCATCGCCATTTCTGTGCCATTGAGCATGGCTTCGGGCTCGAGAATTTTTTTTCTTTTTTAACGAAACTACGGATGTTTTTATTTATTTTGTATCTGCATGCTTTTACGCGTCGAGCACCGAACGAGCTTTACGTGTCTTTCCATTCGCTTTGATCGTCACATCCATCCTTAACATTTGTTCAACCCTCGAACGACTGTGCCATTTTATTCTATGCAAATGAAGCCTATAACGGATCCCAACGAAAACGGTCCGACGCTGAGAGAAAAATATATGGTTGGATTCGAAAGAAGCATCGTTTTTAAATTTCATAACAAAAAATTGTTTCGACTAAATTCAAGATCAACTTGTTCGAAAATTGTCGTGTTATTTTGACCGATGAATAGTAATCGTGCGATACAGGGGCCACGGAGATAAATAAAACCGAGGAGGTGGCCGCGAGCCAAAGATGATTGAGAAACACTGAATAACAATACCGCAAGTGAGGTGGATGTCCTGCCCGCGATGATGAAAACGATTACGTTATCTCGAAACGTAATAATTGTGGTCACATTGGACGTAGGAGTCCCGCGATGCTCCGCAAACGTATCCAGAATGAGTCACGATTAGGTTAGGTTTTAACAGTGTGTTCAGTCGGTGACGGATACAAGGGAGGGGATCTATAGGGGCTCGACACCTCTCTAACTAATAAAAATAAAGTCTATCTGAATTTTAAACGTCTCGAGCGATTTTTTACTCGTGGACAAACCTCGAATAATCGTTAAAACTTTAACATTTCTATTTCTATTGTTTTGGCCGCAAAGTAAATAACAGTCATTTTTTTTCTTTTTAAATAAGGGGAACTTAATCAGTTTTTTCAGTGCTCCTCGAGCACTTCCAGATTCGCAGCTGCGTCGAGGTTTCTAGTGGCTACTGTTCCTTCTTTCTTTTCTTTCGTTTCCGTCTTCCTCCGTCCATGTGTTATCGCACGCTTTCGCCGACGAAATCCGAGAACGGGGACGTTTTTATCGCGATCGCGGCTTTCCGAGCGATTCATCAGACCGTTGCTTCTGTTTGAATTCGTTCGCGTCGAGCACTTGAAGTTCGCGATGCCAGCGAAAAAAAACGTCATGAATTTTAATGGACGTTTCGTTGGTTCGTCGTGGTCTTCGCTTCTGAGCGCTATTTTTTCGCAATAAGCGACGAATACTAGTTGACCGGTTAATTAACCAAAGTATACTTGCGCCTCCTTAACCTCTCTAACCTCTTTAACCTCGTCGGAGATGAATTATTTTGCTTAAAACGAACAAAGACCGAAACTATTATTATCAGCAATATTCATTCGCAATTGCATCGTTTACTTTCGCATTATAATATTTAGAATAATTTACAGTTACGCATACAGGTGTTTTCGAAGGTTTTAAGTCTACGTTCTTCGAAATTTCAAAATCGTAATGTTTTTTTAAGAAGATCTGTTTATTCTTACTGACACCGTATCGTAGTTGACCTTAAATGGATATTGATGACTATAATATGAACTTGGGATGACTTGAAGGGTAAAAAAGATTGCTCGAATTAATTTGATATTAAAGAAATTAATTATTCAACGATGACGAGGCAATAATTCCATTCGTACGATTGTCGACTAATCATCTCTTTACGCTATTGTCGTCTATGTAAAAATTGCACTGTTATTTTCACACTATCTTTTATTTGCGTTTGGAGTTGCGTTGATACCAACTTTTGACGACACAGTGACTCATAAAAGTTCAAAGTTTCCATGCAGTAGCTTGTATAATCAATTTTTGGTACTATACAATAACGTTGCGTTACGGCTATGACGGTTTTGTGTACACAAAATGAGAATAAAGTGTGCTCGAATTAAGAAACGAAATAAACGTTAACTCGCAACTGAACCCTAACTTAATTAGAATTTTTGTTTCGATGGTGTAATAATAGTAACACGACAATATGTTTTTATTGCTACACCGTTACATGCAGTATAAAATAAAAATTCCTAACCTAACCCTAACTTAATTAGAATTTTTGTTTCGATGTTGTAATAATAGTAATACGACAATATGTTTTTATTGCTACATCGTTATATGCAGTATAAAATAAAAAATCGAGTAAAGAAATAATACGTAGAAGAGTAAATACAGGTTTAGGTTAGAAAAGGTTATTAACGTAAACATATAAGCTCAGCAATAAAGTTACTTGATAAACCATCGTGTATTTGTACTTTTAATGCTTATTTTTAAGACGCGTGTTATTTTTATTTGCAGATACAGTGCTGGTGCAACAAGTGGACTTTTTAGAGACTATTTTAGAAGAAACGTCGGACGATCTGCAAAGCGACTCTGAACGCAGTGGTACCACCTATTGGGTCGGTTCGGACTCGGAAACCGAAAGCGTGATACACATACGGGCGAAGCAGAGATCAGGAGGTAAGATGATAATTAAAAGGTATTTATTCCATTAAGTATAAAATTTCAAATAATATTTATAATTGCTGTTCGAAAATGAAAATTATAAATATTCTGTTGTACGTGGTCTATTCCTTTCTTTCTGTTGGCTTTTACGAGCAACAACAAATTCCGTTCTATATAATTAACCGTCTAGATTGTTACGTACCTCGAACACTATAACAATAGGTCTAAAATTAACGAAACTCTTGGACTAGACCGTCGATTGTCCATTTGGCAACAATTCCGAACATGGGCTGTGTGCCACGCTGTTAATTACGTTACAAAGAGTACGAAACGATTTTGCACTTAGGATGATATTTTCCTGCAAAATCCTCGGGCGAAAATTAACTTCGTTATTTTGCTAAAGAGACTGTAGTTTGTCGTGGTCAATTAGCAACGCGAAATATAGTTATTATGTACGTAAATAGGGAAGACCTAAAATGGTAATTCGTTCGTTAATGTAAATTTTGGGTATAGGATCTATTATTTAAAAAAAAATTAGAGGATTAAGATTATTCGCGTTCGATAATTTACGAAAGGGAAATTTTTTTATTTATTTTATACACGCCGTGGTAAATATTTTTTTTTTTTTTTTTTTTTTTTAAGAAAAACGTGTTACGTCTACGTTACTGTAAAACGTATGACATTAAAGTGAGCGGTATTTTGTCTCGGAATGCATCTTGTGAAACCTCATTCTCGCTTCACAGGAAACTCGTGGCAGTGAGCATTGTGGACGCCGCGGTCTACTTTCTCCTTTAAGTTGATCCTTCGATTCATTGAGTTTTGTAAAAATGAAATCTGACAATTTCTCATTCGTTCGAATCTAGGCTTACGTATGACTTCATTGTATTAATAATAAAAAAAAGTTAAAAGCTAGTAAGTTATTTTGCACCTTGTTTATGTTTTACAATTTGCCATACTATGTGTAGTAAATTGTTTTATCTGAAGAAACAAGGTTACATCATTCTGTTATTAACGATAAAGCATTTTGTAAAAATAGCGACTATCGCTCTGGACGATGTTTAGATAAATAGTTATTTAACGCGTCCTATCGTTCTGTTCCGTGCTGTGCTATAGTGTATCAGCACTTGCGATTAGATAAGTCGCCTCAACATCGTATAAAGTGAAAGGATGAGCCATATCCGTCCTGAGATCAAACCTTTATGAACTTTCTAAGTATTCTCGTAAAACTATACTACTGAAGACTAGTGTTCACACTTCGGAGGTTCAAGGTGAGTAGAAATAAGCTTCCAAACTGTGGTCGTTCGTTTTCGGAACACTCTTCGTTCGTAGAATACCACTGTAGATATTTACAAGCTTATCAAACCGGTAATTATTTATATTTGTAGTTAATCGTTGTAAATTCATTATTTTATAGTCTACATTTGCACCCTGCTTACGTTTTTGTGCTAAATTTGTTTTATTTTAACTAATACTTATAAACTTTTTATTATGTTAATGTCATTGGTGGCGCCACAAAATGACAAGTACACTAAAAATGACTGAAACGTTGAAAATAACCTATTCTCGCGAACCCTATTGTATTTATTAATAAAATCACATTACAAATAACAAAAGATCTTAGACACAAATGTTAAGATTTGTGAATTTTATGTTACAAAAATTGCATACTGTAATTTTTACGTTCAATAAGTATTTAGTGTTGAATAGAGAAGAGAAGATCGGTATTAGTGTATTTTCTAAAAGTTTCCAATAGATGTCGCTGTCGTACTGTTTTCCTAGAAAATATAAATTATTCCGCGGTGCACAGTTTGGGAACATCTGCTCTAAGAGGTTAAGTATTTCTTTATTAAAAGTTCATTTACTCGTCGAATGTAGTGTCACTATTTTATATCACTGTATATGATAATTAATAATTATTATCACTCTGTTCGTATTGTCTCGAATATATTAGTTAGTTTTACACGCGAAATATAGTTTGAAATTATCTTCACGAAATATTGCATGAACACTCGTTCTTATCCACGGTGTAATAACAAGACGACTAGTTGTGTAAGTTCAATAAATTTTCCTACAAAAACAGCTTTGCAATATCGAAACACTAGAAAATATCTGATACGTTGAAAAAATACGATACTGAGATTTATAGTACTCCATAGTACAGATAAGTCGTCTCTGCGATCAAATAATAATTTTGCTTTTCATAGCTGCAACCGCAGTTGGGTAAAATTTAATTTGAGTAATAAATAACCAACGAAGCGTATAGCAATTTATCCGTGAGTTTTATCTCGTCGAACAGTTAAATTTGTATCTGTTGCTGTAATATTTTAATCTATAGCATTTTTTATTTTTATTTAACGAGCTCGGGATGTACGGTAGATTATCTTTTATTCGTTGCTCGAAGTTTGTATCCGGATGAAAATTTCGCCCGTTTGTATTGCAGCCGTATCGGTCACGTAGCGAGCGGAGATTCCTTCGAGTATGCGATCGTTGCAACGTGCGAGTATGTTTGGTTGATGTCCGCCAGGCGGCGATCCTTCATCTTAAGTGCATTCTCTTTTTGTGGCAATCGTTCGTTAAGGCTGAAAACGATTCCAATCGACGTGCCTGCAGTTGGTACGTGAATTGTTAGTGAGCTCCTCTTGCTGACGAGCCAACTCGAAAATTTTTAGTAACATTTCAGTAGAACAGTCGAGCCATAACGGTAATGCATGTTTTAGTAATAAATTAAAGATGAATCTGTAGCCTCGAAAGCACAATTTAGATGTTTATTAAATGTAAACATGGCGTCTCAGGTTTTAGGTTAGAACTAAATGAGAGAAAAATGTTATATAAGAACGACTTTTTTACTTGTGAAAAATACATTTTAGTTACAATTTTTCTTCAATTTGATTAATCTCTCCACTTTCCGTGGTTGATGGATTTTAAGAAGCAATACTAATTTAGTAATTATCGCGATCTGCTCGATGGAGGAATATGGAAATTCGATCGTTTTGATCGTATACTTTTACTTTGAGATGAATTTAAACCACTTATCACGGTAATTAGACAGCAACCACATCCTAGGTTATTAATCCTTTGTGGTTAGCATGCATACTGGTATTCTCTTCCCACGAGTACCGCTAGTCGTTTTAATGAAACTTCTTTTTCTAGTCTAATTGAGGATTAAATAGCTTTGGAAAGGAAAGTAATATGTATTTGGATTTTTAGAGCACGTTGTATATTTACATTCCGTAAGAATTGATTGAAATTTTTCTCCGACGTTTCGACCTCTATTCTTAGTCTTCGGAAACATTTGATTTTAGGTTAGGTGATCACGCTTAGTTTTCTTTTTTTAGATAAAATTGTTCAAATTGAAATTTCTACTAGGAGGCAATTTATTTTTAATTGCTACGAAGATAAAATTTTTTAACCAACAATTTCATTTAAAAAAAACTATACACGTGATCGCGTAACTTGAAACTAGAAGTTCTTAAAGAACGTATTTAAAAATAGAGACCTATATGTCGGAGATAAATTTAAATTAGTTCTCACGATTTATTTTTTAAATTCAGAAACTATGAAACTAACATATGTAGATCAATTTAATTATTCATAATAAACTTTTGACTTAATTTATCAGTTATAATTTGATATTTTTATTTTTGTTATTGAAAAATGGTTAATTTTATAATGGATAATTAGAAAAATCCAGATAACTATGTTTAATAGGTTTAATAATGGAAAGTTGTGTCAGGTTTAAAAATTAAGTGATATATCTCGTGCAGTTAAATGCCATTTTGTTGTGATGTTTATCATAACATTAACACGATTATTACGCCAGCCGGAGACTGTAAACGGGCGTAATTCTTTTTTCATTCAGCATTGGAAACGTCTGATTATATCTCTGTAGTATAATTGTACGCAGGATTCTCTTCCGTTGCATCTAATATTAGATCACCTTCAACGTGATTCATATAGAATTACCATGGACTAGCCGTTGGATTCCACGTGCATGTGATCATGCAAAAATAAACCGATAGGGCATTGCGTCGCGGTGTAAATTCAATTGCTTCTGTTCGACACGCAAAGAATTCCAAGCCTGCCGTAATTTAATCACTCGCTATTTACGGACGACCAAGAATACCGTCCATTACGTAAAATTGAAAATTAATAACTATTTCAACGGTCGATCCGCGTAAAGAAACACACGGTTTCGCTTAAAAAAGAATCGCATCATTCTTCGTCAAAAATTTGTTCCCTTATCAAATTCGAGATACAAACTCGTCACAAATGCACAATGCATCGTTTCGTTCTGCGACCCAAAGTGATCACAGACGGCATTCGTAATAATACTTTGGGGAACTTTGGCGCACGGAATTATGAAGCAGCCACCGAATAAAAGTTTTCCAAGTACAGCCACGGCGGGACGTGTCGCGTCGTTGCGTTGGAAACTCGCCGCGGAGTCGCGTAGTTCGAGGATCGCCCGGTTGCGGCCCAGTTTGCAAAGTCGAGCCACGAAAGTGGGACTTCGACAGAAGGGGGGTGAGGGGTCAGCCAATACTCGGCGTTCGCACACCCGCTACCAGTTTTACGCGTCTCCTGCCCCCCTGCGGCCAGTCAGGAAGCCACGGTTCATTCAACCGGAAGCGACGCTTACGGCGTTATGCGGTCACCGGTTGCCGGCTTCGTGACCGTCGTGTGACACGTGATCGACGACACGAGCCGCGATAACGCCTCTCAATCGGAATGACACGTTTCTGCGTGACCCTATCGTTCACTACATTATCGTGTATTTGCCTCGTTGATGCTTTCGACCCGCGTTTCGCTCTAATTTCAGTTTTGTTCCAACCTCCGGTAATAATCGGTTCCTTTTGTAGGATTCTGCGAACACTTTCAGGTTAGGCTCGCACGAGCGTCGAAACGACGCGCGCTTCTATGCTCTTCCTTGTCCAGCAATTGAGAACAACGAGGACAGACAATTGCAAGACAAGGAAAAACATAAAAACGCGCGTAGTTTCGACGCTCGTGTGACTCTAACCTCAATGTCGCCGCGCTGTTGAGTTGTCTGTCGGCTTGTCTGACTTCAGCAAAGATTACCGACACCTTTGTAATTAGGCCGCATTCTGGAACGGTCTCGAACCTTCGAAGAAGGTGTCGGTGTTCCATTTAAGAATAGATTTATTATCGTTAACCTGTGGCCATCACTTATTTTCTTCGTTCCCCGAATCATCATAAATATTTTTTAAAATATTTTAAGGCTATTACCAATATATGCACACTTAGCTCTTCACTCATATAAAAAATGTTTTATAACCTTTTTTTGAGAAACTTTCTACTAGATTCAGTCCAAATTTTGTTTAGCCACAATTTTGGTAAAAACGAGTTTGCTTCGCGAATAATTAAACGTTGCAGTCTATAACTCATTCGCTACGAGATCTGCAGTGTCTGCAGTGGCGCGTCGGTTTTGTTTTCTCTCTCGCAATATTTTGCGGGCGAACGGTCCAATTTCAATGTTCAGTGTTTGCATGATAAATAATAAAGGCCTCGTTTCGTCGCGGAATGTCGCAAGTAGTGAGGTAAGCTGCGATTTCTACGATGAGATCATCTCTCGACATCATTTTTGGAACGATCTTCCACACCGTTCGAACTTCCGTTGTCGAGGTGATACTCATTTTGGCTTTGATGAAAATTCTAAACAGACATTTAAATATAACTGTCTTGTTAAGGATCCACAAATTTTTATTTCTTGGTCGTTCGTTATTTGAACTTAAGGAACAGTCCAACTTTCTTGGTACGTAGACCATAAGTAACGTTTCTCTTAATTTGTTGACAAGATGAAAGACTGGACGGTAGCGGTAGCGAGTGTAATTCGGTGGTCCCTAAGAAGAGACGTCGCAGAAACAATGGCACCAGCGACCGGGACCACCAAGTGACCTTCGAGGATTACCCAGCCTCGCCCAGGTCCTCGAGATCATCCGCGTCATCCAGATCGAGCTCTCTGCTGCAGTTCGAATCGTTGGAGAGGACCTGCGCCACCCTATCGCCCTCCAGCTACAGCTTCGACTCGCTGGAATACTCGAATCGATCCAACGCGTCCCATCCAGAGAACACATCGCCCGACAGTCTCGAGCAGGACTACGACAGAGTCCTTCCCAACGGTTTTGGGAACGTCGATCACTTCTCCAGGATCAGGCCCTACCGGAGCTTCGAGAGCCTGGACACCTGCCAGAAGGACGACGAGTTCGGGCATACCAACCTGACCAATGGTTTCGCACCTTTGTACCTGAAACGTAACTCGGACCTATCGAGGATACGAAGCAACGGGCATCGTCCAAGGTAAACGTCTGTTCAGCCTAACGTTTTCATTGTAGCGTCTCGCGGTCCCGTTTAACGTCACCGACAACCGTCTTGGGCGAATTTATTTGCAACGCGCGACAACCGTCGCCTGTGATCTTTGGCACGCTGGGAACAGTGTTTCTCAAACTCGATCTCGTCTTGGATTCAAAAAATATTTGTTGTATATTTATCGATCTAGATTGTAACCGTAGAATGGCGAGGCTGTGTTTGACGCAGAGGCGAAGGTGGCGCCATGTTCGACGCTAGTGATTTTTCGTGGGAAATTACTGCGCGTTGCGCGGTCCAAATAAAGTTTTACCAAATTATATTCTGAGGAAGATATCAGTAACAATTTTGTTTTTTATTTTGAATTTAATTGCTTTGGGGTAATTTTCAAGTTACATAGTTAAGGCGATAAATTAAAGTTTTGTGAAACTATGCAATTCTACGACACATAAAAAAAAATGAAAGATGAAATATTTACCGAATAACAAAGATCATTCGTTTGTTATTATTCTTGAGTTTATTTTTGCATTTCCCAAGATGGTCTCAAAGTAGAGAATAGAAACATAATGGAAGCTTGATTAAGACTGTCAAATTTAATAAGATCCCTAAGGTAGTTGCATGACCGAGTAGCGAAAATGAGACCAGGCCATTATACTATCGCTTAGGTCAATCTTTCCCAATAGGACTGCCTCCATATATTTTTAGTGTCAATTAAAAAATTTACCACTGTTTTTTATGCTAGAAGACATTTTCTTTTCTGCCATGCAAATCTTTAAATCTACGCAGTGGCGTAGTTAGGGCACTTTTTTATATTATGTATTGTACTTTTAGTGGGGTGGTACAAATTCTAGCTACGCTATTGAGCATGGATCAGAAAAGGTTGAGAAACACTGTCTCAGACCCTCATTTTGCATTTAGCAATTTTTATCACTTTCATATTATCAAACAGATATACTATGAAAGACTGACAAGGATCGTGAGATCTACTCATAATTCTCAATTCTTTATTGAGTGTAAAAGTTATCCAATTCTGCCACTAGGGGTGCGCGTATCGCAGTCGCACAAACGCTGATTTCTGAACTTTTTTAATCAGAATGGAAATTCTAAAGAACGGACAATGGGGACGATCTACCCGATTTCTTTTTTTTTATCTTGATTTTAGAAATTTTCTTTTTGTTCTAACATCGCGCAGCAGACAAATGGCATTTCGCGATGTTCGAACGGAGGTCTACGAGTTCCCTTGGCAACGACTGTCAGAATTAAAGCTTGCTACATGACCCTCGTATTTTGGCCAAGTTACCGCAATCGCGACCCTGAATAGACCTCCTTGACTTTTACTTTTCATTTTAAGAAGATCCGAAATTACACTTGCTAACGTGCTCGCGATTGTCCGATTACGGTTCACTCTTTTCCATATAATAAACGAACAATCTATTTCTACTAGCATTTTACAATTGCATCACGACTGTAAAAAACTAAAATCAAGAGCATACATGGGTGATATTGGGTCGTTTACGACCCGTTGGTGTCTCCTGCTAATTGTTTGCTTTGCTAGCCTCATGTTTAAACTCATCTAGATCTGTCACATGCTTCGTAATCTAGTCGAGAAATCCGACAAAAATGAAAATTTTTTCACATGTTCTCTTCCTTAGTGTGTCCCCACTATTGTTCCCTTTACTGTATTCCGACGATTTGTTTCGCGCGAATCAGGGACTTTTGGCACGACGACGAAGAGTACGAGGACGACGACGAGGAGGAGGACCTCGACGAGGAGGATCGCGCGTCGAAGGAGAATCGCGCGTGCTCGGAGATCGAGGATCGACTGATGGTGTTCGGCGATCCGGCATTCAACTACGCGACATCGGTGGACTACAGAAACACGATCGATCTGCGTGAGATCGGCGTCGAGACGAAGAGGGACGCGCTGTTGGATCTGAAGTCTGGCCAGGCGGCCGTGTCGAGTTCCTTTCGTCTGCTGCAGACCAGGTTAAATATAGCCGGTGGCATGGCGCACAGTCGCAACAACATGGTTCCCGATCATCATCATCACCATCATCATCAACAGCAGCAGCACCAGGAGGAGCAGTACCAGCACCAGCACCAGCACCACCAACAGCACTACGAGCACCACGAGCCGCGGCAGCACCAGCAGCATCAGCTTCAAGGGTGGAGCAAGGAGGAGTGCTTTAATTTTAGATTCACGGATAAATCTCAAAGCGCGCCCAGTCTGCCTAGCAGCATCGACGAGTCCGCACACGGTACACGCTCGTTGGCGGGCCACACGTCCTCAAGGGCAACCTCGTTCGTCTCCACGTCGAATCTGTTCGAGAATTACACGAGGGTAGCGAGCGTGCCCGTGGACCTGAACCTTTGCGGATTTTCCACGTCGTGCGATGATACGCGGTACCAGGAACTGAGCCCGCGCGATCACGAAATGGCGGATATTACGAACGTACACGAGAAGAAGCGCACGGACGGCCACCGGGAGGACGAGGCGGGACAGCTGAAGAACTCGTTGATGAGCTCGGTGAGAACACAGGCGCCGCAGAGCGTGATGGTGGACGGGAAGATGGATCGCGAGTCGATCGAGGGGAACGGCAAGAACGAGGGGGAATGCGCGGGCGATCGCTGCGCGAACCCGCGGGAGAAGAAGCAGGTCACGTCTACGGTGAAGACGCAGGATCGCGGCAACTGCGTGCTGGACATGGCGATCGCCATGGAGAACGACATGGTGGACGAGGCGATCAAGCAGCTGAAACGGGAGGTCGAGGAGGCAACCGTGTCGAATGGTAAACACGCGATGGACGGCGTGCAGAGAAGCCTGTCCGGCAAACAGCGACCGCACAGGGTGAAGAACAACGCCAGTTACGAGCTGGCGCAGCAGTTCGAGATCGACGAGAGAAGCATCCGATCGAACAGACACCGCAAGGAGATCGCCAACGACGACGAGCAGACCACCAAGTCGCCGAAGAGCGCTTTCGGTGGACGCAAACGGGTATTGAACAACGCCAGTTACGAGCTGGCTCAGCAGTGCGATTACATAAACGCTCTGCAGTCGTCCAGGGGTGCGTTCCAGAGGATGGACGCCTGCGACGAGCTCGAGGAGCCCGTGTTCGTCTCCGGTCGATCGTCGCGGCTCAGGGTCACCGACATGGTGCAACAGATGAACAGCAGCTCGACGTCGAATCTCACCAATTACAACGAGCCGCGTACCGAGACCAGGATGTACTCCAAGTCCACGGAGGACATATTCTCGCAGTTCTCGACCGGTCCGTTCACCAGGGTGCCGATCAATCAGCTGGGCCAACGGCTGAAGAAACAGGAGGAGGAGGAGGAGGAGTCGCTTCTCTGTCAGGTAAAAAAAAACTCGGATCCATTTTCAACCTGTGGAGACGATCCTAGTGGCCATCCCGTAGTAGACGACGAGATAGATTATCCCTGCTTGGAAACCAAACCCATAGGAGCTTCCAGCCTGGAGGGGGGCGTGTCGCGCGAGGAAACAAACGCCCGCGAACCTCCGGGAATATCCCTAGAACACGAACACGAGCACGTGCGCGTAACTAGAACCCCGAACTCTGTACCGACGATCCACGAGCATCCCGCGGAGTTTGACCAGGATCTAGCGAGATCCTTAATCGACGAGCAGCAGGAGGACGGTGGTAACGTCGTCGACGAGAGTTTGTCGTCGTCGTGCAACAGGAACGGCAGCGAACGGCTGTGGAGGGTCATAGTGGAGAAGCAGGCCGTGGAGAAAGAGGCTTCCGCGGAGAAGGTTGCCGCGGGTAAGGTGATGGAGACGGCGGAGAAGTCGCTGGAAAAGAAAGAGAGCGAGAAAGAGGATGAGGAGGGGGCGAAGGCAACGGAAGCAGCGAGGGGACACAGTGTCCACGGTGTTCGTTGCCCCCCACCAAGCGGTACCGACGGCCTGGAAGCCAGTCAGAGGAGTGGGAATCCAGCGGTGGCCGTGGTAGTTGATACGAATCATCGCGGTGATCGCGACAAACGTCACGAGGAGAACGCGGCGGCAACAACGGCGACGGTTAGGGTAGCAGACGCGACGATGACGACCACGGCGAAACGGTCCTTCGTCACGCCGTCACCTATCAAGGACCCGTCCTCGGGGAGGATACAGAGGGGCATGGCCGTGGACGCGTCCCCCGTGACCACGGTCAAGGAGGAAAGGAAGAAGGGTGGACTGGGTGGATTTCTTCAGAGATTCTCGAGGCTACGGTTCAGTGGTAGATCGAAAGTGCCGCGTTCCGAGGTGCAGAAAAAGAGTGATACGCTCGGCCAAGTGAATCGCGGCAAGGTGAACGAGGAACATGCTAAAAAGGAGCCGGATTACATCATTATTCCGTTGCACGGACCGGAAGATGAGAGGCGCAAGGACGAACACGCCGCCGTGGATACCAAGACGGACGGAAGGACCGTTGGTGACGTTCAACGTAGCTCCTCCAACGTTAGGTAAGTTCCCTATTCTTTACAATTTTAAAGACATTTGCAAAATGCACATTACAACCGATATACCTATCTGTCTCTAATGTTTTATTTTTCTTTGCGCCCGTTTATCGGTATCTACTTGTTGCAAAGTACAAGTTGCAAGCCTTTTTATCCTAAATGACGATAAAATTTGTTTTGCCTTTTGTAAATATTTTTACTACAGTTAAAAACAAGTAACAAAATAGACCACAAATTCCTTGTCAAGAAGTTTGAAAAAAAAAATATGATCGTAATACTATTTCCCTCAATTTAATTCGAGACGAGATACACACACACAAACATACACGTATACAAGTTCTACAAGTAAAAATGGGACCAAAATGTCAAATAATAAAAATGTCCATAAATGCTTTATCAAGAAATTAAAAAAAATGTTCTAATGCTGTTTCTCTCGATTCGATACAGGACGAGATACGTAATGTATACGTTAAATAGATCAAAAGTGCTGTGAACCGACGAGGCCACCTTTACACGCGAAGGCATATTTAATTAACACTATAATCACGTACCAGCGAATGAGAATTTGCTCACTTCCTTCCTGAACGGCCAACGAAACAGATTTGTTCGATGTTTTTTTTTTTTACAAACGATCTAATAATGTTGGAAGATGTAACTTCAGCATTTCATCAAAATGGCTGACGCAGATCGAATGCCCCAGTACATTATCTATGAAAAATTGGTTCTTCTATGAGAATTTTTGTTGATAATTCTAGTGATGAAGTAGTTTGTATAAAGATTGAGATCTCAGTAGATCGACATTGATTCACAGAACTCCCACATCTTCTCTAATAACAAAGGAAGGAATCTCTGCGTCCGGAAATTAAAACCCAGTTCCAGGCTTCACCGTTATTGAAATAAATTACTTGAAAAATGATTATTAAAATAATATATCGCCCCATTTAGCTAGACGTTGTTTGAAGTAATTCGTTACTCGGTTTAAATTGTCGAATGAATTTTATTTAAATTCTTCTGTTATTTGTATTTGCTTACAATCACATTCGATTTACCAAATATACACACGAAAAGGCAAAGAGACGATTCGGTTTATCGAATCCCTAGAGTCATAAATCGATATGGATTTCGTGAAACACAGCCACATTCCTAATCGAAATGGGTGGAGCATACAAAACTTGATTAATTCCAATTAAAGGGGGCACGCACAGAGGATTCGTGCGACGAAGAAGAAATTATAAATGACTGTGCACGTTTGGGTACAAAGACCGGGGGTACCATTAACCTAATCCTGACTCACACAAGCGTATCGTAACGCTTGTATTGTTTGTCTTTAAATTTACGATCCGAAGCGGTCGCATTTACTCATCGACAGCCACTGACTTTGACCTCAGCGATTGTTTGCACGATTTCGCCCAAGGTATACGCAGCCACTGTGAATCACGGTACCACGATGTTTCTACGGCTTCGGTGTAAACATTTGCCTTACAGCGGCCGTAAAAATGGCTCGTTAAAATTTTCAATCACCTCGCCTAGTTTTACTACGTTTATCTATAACGTGCACACGTGACACGACGATAGAAAAATATTTGCCCGCTGTCTCGAGATTGTGGCCATTTTTAAGGTACGAATCGGTGACATGCTTTCTATTCGAATAACATCGAATGGGGAAACTCTGTACAACGATTTGAAATTATCTCGAAATTACGAACTACCATTCTTTTTATTCGATAATTTAAACTATGCAGCCGCGTGGCTAGGCATAAAAGGTTTAATAGTTTTATTACGTAACAACGTATCGTCTTACATAATTATCGGATTACGAAAGAGTGCGCGTACGGTATCAGCCTTCTGTTTAGGATCCAAAGACTAGTACGTGTTGGAAATTGAATATCGTCGGTTGGTTCGTCGTTAACGTACATTGACTGGCGGCTCGGATTCGTAAACAACCTTTCTAGATGTCCGTGAATCTGTTTCGAGGCATGTTTCTCTTCTGCGAGTGGCAGCAACGAGGTCAGTGATACCGTGGCTTTCGTAATGGCGGCCAGAGTAGGAACAGCTGCCAGTCCCGCGCTTACCACCCACTCCTCCATCATCCGTTCGAGTTTTATCCAGCTTCTTAATTCTGCTTTCATCGCGACCCACGCCGTACGCGTTACAAATCTGTAGCAGAGATTCCCCCGCGTCTCTAACGACCGTTTTCCCCCCTACCCATGCTTCGCATCCCGCATCTAATTCCACTCTAATCAGGCTTCGCGCTCGCCTCGATCGATGGGATTTCACTCTCGTTCGCGTTCCTGCCGATCCTCGGCCCCAGCGTATCGGTTCTCCAGGTCAAATTCTCCCCTAGTTCTCCCCTAAGGTCGAATACCTTGGCTCGAACATCGGCAATAGGATCACAGTGCCGTGGACGAGGATAAATAGAAAAGACAACTCATATTCGTACCTTACAACATTCATAATATCAGTCTTTTGCTGGTGAGTGCACATAGAGAACACATAAAGATCATCAATTTTTTTTTTTAAATGAATATTCTCTACAAAAAAGAATGAATTCATTTATGTCTAAAAATCGTTAGTTTGGAAGATATTTCATATCTTTATACCCAACTCCAGTGTGCACTTCTCCCGCTGTTTTTGCGTCATCGATCAACAGCTAACACGTTCCACGTGTTAGGATGCGTTCCGCGAATCGCGGAGCGTAAAGATCGCTTTGCAAACGAACAGGAAAAAAAAGTTTCGCCACGGAGAATCAGTTCGCCGCTCTTAATAACATTTTACTTTCGCCCCGTTCTGTATCGTTCTCACGTAATTCGACCTAATTGCATTCCGTAACGCCGAACGTCGACCGTTTAACCTTTATCGCGTGTTCCCCCCTTTCCGCCATTTTCCCTTCCCGCTTGTCTGAAAATCGCCGCGCCTCGAGCTCTCCTCTTTCATGTAAATATCTTTCTTGGGACTATCGCGGACCGTCAGTTTCCGTCTGACTTTTCTGCCAATTAATCTTAATCTCCGTCATGACCCTTGCTCGTTAACGATTCATTTCCTTTTACTTCGTCGATCGCAAGTGGTTCGCTTGCGCCAGAGTTGTTTAACTTTGAGCCATCCCGGGGAAGACACGATTTTAGGAAACGACTAATGGTAAAAAGATCGATTGTATTATTTTTTTTTTAATTCATGTTTCAACCTTTTCACTGCTGAATTAATCATGATAGAAGAAACCTTTGCGTTCAATTATCCTCACAATTTCATCTCAAAGCTTGATACATTAAAATCCACACATTTTCATACTCTTTTATTACTGAATAATCGTAAATACGAAACTGTCTTTCATTCTATTTTGATTAAATTAATGTTCAAGTAACTGATAAGAGGATCTTTTGGCGAGACTTTGTCAAATAGTTTTGCCCAGAAAAAGCTTCAAGTATAGCATAAAGTTGATGGGCCCCAGACATGACAGATCCCTTAAAGACCATTCTCCAGTTCTCTCAGCGCGGTTTCGTTTTTATTGCGAGCTTCGTTATCTGCCGATCGAACTCGTTTCTCAGAACGAAAGGCGTATCTGATCCCCCTCTCGTTTGGTTTTTACAAACATCTGTTTTATCGCGCGGAATTCCGCCGAATCAGCGCTGCTTGTACCTCGACGGTCTTTTCTTGCGCGCCGCCTCGACTCGGCTGCATTCGTTTCAGCGGCGAGGGACAATGGCAGAAAATGGTCCATTTTGGTCCTCGTCCGGGAAAAGTATAAAATTGCCACGGTGAACAATGCATCGGTGTGTCGCGGGTAATGAGAAAACTAATATGAAAAATGAACAAAAAAACTTGGCTTTAAAGAGCAACTTGTTTGGAATTCGTTGTTTCAACGCTGAACTGGGTAACTTGAGTCCCCCCTATATTTTAATATTTTTATTGCTCTTTCGTGATTTCGTAAACCTTTAGTTCATGGAGTTTATATAAAGTTTCTTGAAATAATTATAATTTTTTTTTTCTATGTACTTGTCTATGGAGTCACTCATTACCTAAATATTCGAATTATATTCCCCAAATGTTTAGACAATTAATGGAACAATAAAAATTGTAATATTCGAACAGAGTCAGATTGGAGAAGGAGTAGACAATCGCTCTGCCAACTGGTATTTGGCATGAGCGTCGCTCGAGCGCGAGCAGTAATCGTCCATAGAATTCTTTTCTCGTTTTCTTCTGTTCGACACAATGTCATTGACTTCGCGCGGCGTGTTCTATTGGAAATTCGTTCCAAGCGTTCAACGTCCGTTTATCTCCCATGAGCCGCGAATATTCGAGTCCCCGCGAATCTTCGTTTATTTAACGATGCTCTGAACATAACGAGGCCGATATCCCACGGCTGTTTACATCCACGATGCGTGTTAGGGGCCCGATGAATCATCGCGAGCCGCGGAACGCCTGTGTAATTCAAGAACCCGTCGCGTTCGCAGCGACCTTTGGCGCGTTTGTCGCTCTGGAGCCGGTCGCTCACAATGCGAACGAATCTTGCGGGCCGAAAGTAGCGGAAAATGGGCCGCGTTCCAGTAATAATACTTCACGAGGGTTCCCTTTCGTTCTCATCCGAAAGCTGGTCGTATATTTAGAGGTGTGACTTCAACGCTGGATTTTATCGGGCAGTTAAGTAATCCTGACGTGTCGCTGTCTTGCAATACTAACGAAGTAAACACGGTGACGCTACGATTTGTGCAACGTTAAAATTAGTTTCGAACAGTAGTTTTCGAACTGGTCGGAAAATTCCTCTTGAAGAAAAGGAACATATACAGGGTTTTCAGCCACCACTGGGAACAATTATAATAGGGAATTCTGGAGACCAAAATAAGACGAAAATCAAGAATACCAATTTGTTAATGGAGGCCATATTGAATTTTTTTCTCGAAAATGGGTAGGATTTCGAGGGTATCTCTATTCACCAAAAATGATTGTAATTGACCCCTGAAACCGAAAATAATTTTTCCAAAACGATTCGAAATTTTTTTTTTTGCCGAAAA